ATCTCATTATTAAGCAATCAACTTAAGCAAACATTTGACACCTCCTAAAGGATCCATTCTTTAAACCTCGTCATTCACACACGGTGACGTGTTCAGAACATTATCTGAGGCCAAAGTGCCTTCAAATCTTTACCCCAAATGAGATTCGTGAGTGGAGAATGGGAGGGGGGGGGGGGGTTTGAAGAGACAACACAGAGTGTACATGTACTTAGATGATGGATTGAAATAGCTCCTCGGGTAAAACTCTCGTCCGATGCGAGGGGAATTTTAAGAAGCAAACTTTTAATGGAGTCATTCACAGCATTGTTGACAAGTTAAGAAGTGTCTCAGACCACAATTACATGCATGTACTTGGAAAAATGTGAATCATGCTACTTGAACTTGGGGGGGGGGGTGGAATGTGGTCATATGGTGGAGTAGGGGTGTGGTAAGCTGTTGTAATTACATACAATACTTTCCTTTTGAATGAACTACATGTATTTCTTCTTGTGGATAACTAATCAAAATTGTGAAATGATTTCCTCCATAAGATCATATTACATTCCATCAAAGTGTTAAAGATATATATACATGTATAAATATGTGACATTTCTTATGTGCCTCAAACTCAGAACAAACAAGCTGAGTTTAATGTAAGTTTTGTTTATGTAAATTGTTTCGCTTCTCATCAAATGTTAGAACAGCAATTTCATTAGTGTTCAATTTCCTGTCAACACCATCAGCGTTATACTAGTGGGTTTGAACACAGAAGGGTAGACTGGGGAAATGCACATGCCATTAAGATTTGGAACGAATGACGATTGAAGTAAATGCCTTAAAAAAAAAGATTTATTTGGAGTAGAATACCTTTGCTTGATTCAAAGATAACACCCTGTGTTTTCATACAATTTCTTTACCGAAGGCAATGCCATTTTCACCCAATGGTTTACGTAACTCATGTTTAATGCCACTGTACAGGAGATAGGGTTTTCTCAATGTCATCATGTTTCTAGGCGTTCATAAATATTCAAAATTCATTTTCAGGAAACTCGGCATCTGATTTATAAGTACACAGGCAAAAAAAAGAAGAAGAAGAAGAGGCGACGAGTAGAGAGCCAACTCATAAATATTCATGAAGGTAATCATCTCCAAACCGTTCCTTTTACAGTTGAGTGGTTTCCAGGCTCTCCGTTCTACTAGAAAGGATGCAGTAACTGGATTCAACTCATAAATATTTATAGGTTTAATCAGCTTGCTTTACTTTCACAGTCCGTGAAACCAAAGTGGTTTCGGAGGGGAAACTCACACCTGTCTATTTTGGAGTGCAGGAGACCGTCTCCAAAACACGACTCCGCACCTATTAGTCAGCCCCAAGCCCCTTGGTCTATGGTACACAGCCACTTAAGGCCATCAGCAATGAATAAAAGTTCTTAAAAGAAGAAGAAAAAAAAAAACCCACATTTAATAGTAGCCGGGAGAGGAGATGGACGCATCAATACTGGAAAGACAACCTCCAACAAAATAGCTTTAATATCACTCGGCTGCCTCGGTGATAGGGTCTGGGGAGACTCAAGAGCAAAATAAAACGTAAGAGGAGTAATTTGCAGTTTTTGTGCTGCGCTGAAAGGGTGCTTGTTATTGGCGGACTTGGATGGAATGCACAATAGGGGCCCAGTAGGAGCTGTGCGGAGGGGAGGTTTTTTGAGTATGCAGAGCCCTTAACAGATACACGTATGTACCATGTATAATGAGGTCCCCCGAGGTTCCTTTATGTCAGACTAATAACCCCCTCAATCCTATTTCTTGATTGGTAATAATACAAGGCTTCGTTGTATTTCCCCCCCTCAAGGCTTGCATTCCCCTTGCACTCTCTCTCTCTCTCACACACACACATGCTAAGATGTCTGATTAGTTAGTCGGGGACCGTGGAGTTTCTGAGATAACACATGCCGAGCCAACCCGATCAGAGTATACCGGCTTGCAGTGACAGATCGTGCCTCGTTTGTTATATGGCCCTCTTAAGGCATGCCAGCATAACAGCCAATTGCGGGGCAATTGCGGATCTGTGACGAGCCAGTGAGAGGGACTAAAAACGAGCGAGCTGCAGACGGTACGCAGCGGGGAGAGCATCAACAACACTCAGTGTTCTCTGGTTGACTCCAGTCCAGCGGACTCGTGATTTCTCTCTACTTTTTTTGTGTATCTCTGTGTCTCGTTTCAGAGCCAGCAAATTGACAATTCTCTCTAAGGGTTGACTTCAAGAGCCAGTGGAGGCAAGGCAGTGTTCGGAGATGATATCGCAGCCAGTAAGTACATGTAAATGTAAGACCTCTCCAATGGGGACAAAAAAAGGCATAAACACTGTGTATTGAACTTTCAGGGCTACATGCGAACAGCCATAGCTGGGTAGAAAACAATCTTGAAAATCTCCTGGATGATTTAAATTCTTGGTATTGACAATTTTTTTTTCCCTTTTCCAATTCCAATGCTACTGAATAGAGCAGATGTGGTTGTTATTTGGAAGACTGTGCATGCTTTTGAAAAATATCGGGATGAAATGCTTTTCATCAGATTTCAAACAGGACAAAATTGTCTCCACAAAGTCCGGGAAACACTTCAGGGGGAAACATCAATGTACTTTTTTTTCTTTTCTGGATTTCAGGGGCAATAAGAGCAGACAGAACTGGAACGAGAAGGTCCTAATCAGCCCCAAACTGAGAATAAGCGGTGCAGGCGAATTGGGTTATCTTGAGTTGCCACGGCAACTGGGGGAACTATATTTGAAATCCATCAGCGATGACCATGGGGAATTTCTCGTGTGTGTTCAGGTTTTCGGTTGCTGGTTAATTTAAAGCTGTCTCCTTCACGTACCAGGAAATGCAGACTGATTGGTGGGGCAAGTAAAGTGCAGCGGTATTAAACGCAGGCACTTGTGGGCAATACAAACACATGTGTGTGGGGTAGACTCGCCTCCAGTCCCACTACAGTCAGCAAAATGGCACTTTGTTGGTGCTTTACTGGAGGACACAATTGAACAGGAAACTAACTCTTGCATGTCCAATGCTGGACTCTGAATTTACATCCCAACAAAAATGTGACATATTTCCAGTGGTTGAATGGTAAGCGACATTCAAATAAAAATCCCAAGGCATGAGTGTTAATACAATTAAAACAAAAATGAGATACGGACTTCAGTGCCATTAGAAAGTAGTACTGTACAGCAACGTGTTTTACAAATTTGATATTTTAATGCCGACCGGTACCATACGCACTACCACAGTTTCCAAATATTTTTACGAACACGTTACTCTGTGATCACATTCTTAAATGCTTCATTCATACTGCGTACACAATGGATGCTTGTAGCCTGTCTCTCTGCTTTCCAAACAAAAACATTTCATGCTGTGAGACAATGCAAAGCCATGCTTTCCAGACTGGCAGAAACATTTACTTTCTTCTTCCATTTTTACGCCAGGAAAACAAGATTTGGTACAATGTTGCAAAAACATCACATTACAACAGAAACTCTCTGAAGCATGTGGACAACAAAACGAAGAAATCACGGAGAAAACAACTAAGCAGATTTGTTTTGCCCTGTTACTGGGCTGTCCTATAGCCCCAATTTCACGGCTCTGCTAACCACAGAATTCCGCGCTAACAATCACCATTTTGTGCTAACCGCGCTAGCAGAAAAATTCCGTGCTGACCCTTGTCAGCACAAAATCCTTAGTTACAGGATGTAAGCATATAATGCGCAGAAGCCCAAATTCCTTGCTAACCTGTGAAATATGCTTACCCTAAGCACGGAACTTGCTGCTATAGTAAGCAGGGATTTCTCGCTAACAGTACGCAGAGCCAAGAAATTGGGCCCTGGTCCTTACTAGGCACTTTTGTGAAATTTGAATGAATTAGAGTTCAATTAAAAAAGAAATAAAAAACACTTATACAAAAAAAAAGCATCCTAATTAAATTATTTTGCAGGTACATTTTACATTTAATTGCCAAATGCAACGTCATTAATTATAGGTGAGAAAATGTTAGACCAGAGTATGTAAGAAATAGGTGGGGTTTTTTTGTTTACAGTTTCATGTTATTACTAAAATGATCAAAACATTTTAACTGAGGCAAAACAAAAGTTAATGAGTGATACGTCTAAAACGCTTCCCTTCTAATATTACTTAAAGGGAATATACAACATTTGCTTTTGCTGTAATTTTCAGAAAAGGATGAATTTGGGGGTTAGTATTTTATAGCAAATATTGTTACACTGACTCGTATGAAGTTTTGTGTTCGTAAAGGCTGGAAAAACCAAGAAAACAATCATGTTCCCTGTAGTCCGTTTCCCTGACCCCACTTAAGATGAAATGGAGCAATTAATAGACGTCTGGGTATTGTAAGGTCAGGGAACCAGTCTAGCTGGCTTGTACCTGTTCATAGGTGTGTAATTGATTGCAAACAAAATGTGGGCTAACTAAATATGGTAAATTGGGGGCAGTATTTGAAAAAAGCCAGTGTTTTCCAACGCTAGTCCGCCAACCAGCGTTGGAAATCGATACAAAAATACCACTTTTCTTGAAAATGACAGCAAACCAAGTGCCATGATTTCACAGGATGCTTTAGACTGTCATTCACTAACAGTCCAGCCAGTAAGGTATTTCATAATAATTTGGTAGTTTTGTTTTTTGATGTTTGCAAATGTTGTATATTCCCTTTAAAAGAGCACCATTTTAGCACAAGCAAGATGATGACACACCGAGAAGACTTTTTTTGTGTGTGACAGTGGATTTGGGCGCAATGGTAACTGCTTTTACAGATTAACACAGGAATTAAACACCACACTGTGAACGAAGTCAGCATCAGAAAGTGTGAACTGAACACCCATCGAACACATGGATTAGTGAAGTGCAATTTGATCATTAACTCCAGCAAAATGCGGTACGCTCAATTTCCAAAAAACATTCAGCAAGCTCAAAAAAATAAATAAAAAGAGAAACAGGATCAAGGAAAGTTTCACAACTCACCTTCCTTTTTGACGGCAAAAAATCCTGAAGGAACAAAGAAACCAGTGTCAGGCAGAAATCTCAGGATATTGTAACTGATTGCAAAATGTGTCCCACTCATCTTTGGATTGAAACGTATCCCACTCATTTTTGGATTATTCATGAGATAATTGGTTTTGCTGGTCATATTCCACTAGCACCATCAGGCCTTTATCCCCCATTAAACTTTCATAGCAGGGGTACATGGTTTAAGGTAAATGTGCAGCTTTGCTGTTTGAAGTCAATGACATTTTTCATCTCTGGAGGCTTCAAGGTTTACGCCGTCTGTCTGTCAAGGCAGTAATGTTGTCGGCGGAGTGACATTTCAAATGTGGAGTGAGTGCTTTTTTTTTGTCCAAGTAGATCTCTAATCTTACTTCCAGCAGGACGGTTTTTAAGACTACAATTGTTGCCGAACAAAACAGTCCATTAAGAAAAGTGGACGGCAAATGGCTAAAAACATCATTCCCCACGCTCGGACGAATCCGGCAATCTTGAAGGGGGTAACGACCAAAAAAATGTACCCACGAGTGCACTTAAAGGGTTTGGGACGGCAAGACGTGCAGGATGAAAGGGATAATGTACTGAAGGAGATTTCCAATCAACCAGTCGGCCCCCCAAAAAGATACCACTTGGTCTGAAACGGCTATTTACGGCCACTTTGCCGGCCAATCCAATTAGGGTCGGTCTGTCACCAACATGTGCTTGTTTTTTTCTGTGATGGGACGAGGTGATGCCGTGGGTTAGGAGTAAGCATACACAAACACAGCCACTGCTCTCTCTAGTCTAAATGGCTGCTTCAATCTCTCATTTTCTTCCTTTAATTCACACCCATGAATGAAACTGAGATTACACACATGGTGAAGCACTTCAAGTTAATGCACTACAACCCGTGAGTGACTGGCACGGAGCAATCTCCGTCACCAGAATGGTTTCTGACCAATCAGAGAGGCACTAAGCACCGACAGGTGAACTCTCAGCCAATCCGGGCCGAGAGCAATGCCTGGCACGGCAGCCAGATGCAGCGTGTGTGCATATCTCTGTGTAGCCATCAAGCATAAAAGGCAGTGACACTTGTCAGTGGGTGCTTTTATTGCCAATCGGCTCATCTGGGCATGATGGACAAGTTGTAGAGAACAGTGCAGAGCTCTCCCTGCACCGAGGGAAACCCGACGCCAGAGACTTTGGATATTATGAAATATGTAACATGATGGAGTTTCCAGTATGTGCAGCTGTGTACATGGCCGGCGGCAACCAGGCATTTCATTAAAGCCGTCACGTCCACGGGAAAGGTAGTGAATGTTAATTATCTGAGCAAATTTACTGTATAAACAGTCCATTTAATATCATTGTATTGGGGCTGGGGACGGGTCTTGTATGGCAGGCATGCAGGGATGTATGCGTGACAGGGCTAGCGGCACACGTGTAGCGAAGAAGCAGCAATCACAAGGCGCCACATGCACAGATTTTCATTTCCAAAAATCTGGAAAGTACTGGCTGAATTAACGACGCACTTTTAATGTACTGCTGGAAATTTATGCTTCACTATACAACAGCACATAATGCTTGGGATACAGCAGCGTTCAAATGCAGGCAAGTATTTTCACAACCGTCTGATCAGTGGCATCTCTGAAAGCAGGATAGTTTACCACAGTTTTTCCCGAACTCTTAGTTTCAACAGAGTTCTCAACAAAACGGCATCAGTTTCACATCTTATTATGCAAGGCGTCCCGGAAATTTAAACACAACTTGCATTTCTCACCAGACAGCGTTGATCAAAGAACTGTGCAATTCAAGAACATGTGCAATTAACTTTGATAACGGCCTTTTGATGCGAGCGTAATGATATCGACTCATGAGATGCATTCATGCAGGTTATTACATGGGCATGCAGAGAACGAAAGTTTTGCATGTCATTATGCATGTTAAAGTAGGAAAGGCGTGCAAACTGTATCTGTGTACTGTGCACATGACTTGGTTGCTCAGAATGAAGTATGTAGACAGTACATAGGTTAAAATTTGCCCTACGATTGCCATGTACGAGGCAACATCATGAGCGAGGCAGCATCAATCTTGGGTCAATCTCCTTATAGCATTGTGTAGGCGCATTAACAAACGGAGGCACTTAAGTTGTGTTTGATTACTTCGAATAGATTTCACTCTGGCTGGCGGATAGAACAACATTAGCCATGGGGCAGAGAGGACTAAGCTAAATGGAGGGCCATTCATCAAGAGGATCTGTAATGAATTGTGAATGCATCACGAGCAACGGAGTGAGTTTGAGAGGATGGTCTCCAGAAAAAAGGAAAAACAAGAGGTTTTTTTGTGTTGTGGGTAAGCATTGGGCAGGGAGGAATGATGTTCGGCAATAGTGCATGCTTGGAGTAAAACAGAAAATGTCTGACTTAAGTGTCTTCAGATAAAAATAACTAAATCATAAAGATCTTAAACAGGGTCTGTGGAATCATCTACAGGGTGAGTAAAAAAAAAAACGAAACCCAAATGTCGGGACTATTGTTTTATTGAAGTTCTGCATGTAGCACTTTAAAAATCTAGGTGTGCGTTCTTTCAGCAAAACGAAAGAACACTAAACTTTTTTGTGATCCGTGGACAGAACCTTAAAACGGTGGTTGTGATTAAAATTCCGTAACTTGAAAAGTACATGAGTGATTTGAATGATTCTTGTACTAAAAGAAAGCTTATGAATTGGGCTTTCATATCCTAGATTTTGAAAATTCTACATGCAGAACTTCCCTAAAACAATGGTCCCAACATTTGGGTTTCGTTGTTTTTTTTACTCACCCTGTACATCTAAATCAGTATCAACTACACAGACTTTTCCTTTGGTATTATTCAGAAGACAATCACAAATGCCGATATCTGAGTAGATGCAAAAGTCAAAGCTCTTTTCTTCCTCGGAAAATTCCTTCCGGTAACTTTCCTGTGCAGTATCCTAACGCTACCTACGCTAACCTTGCACACTTCAAACCAAATGCACCCATCAGCTTCACGCAGTCAGTCAGAAACAGCTTAGTTGCGGCACTCAGAGCTAACAGCGGGAGGCATTTACCCCTGCGATTGAATGGCATTAAGACAAATCAGCCGACAACATTTACGCTTGCGCTTAAATTAGCTGCCGGTCTGTCAGCTTAAATACCGAGTGACTGCTTGAAATAGACGCGCATGTGCACGTTTGCATGCTAAGCGCCGCGTCGCGCTCGGCGTGAAAGTGAAGGCGTACACGGATTTGTGCCACCACGACGAGTCTTCGCACTGCGAATTCACCAAAAAGTTGAACACATTTCAACCCAAGCGACTTTCACAGTGAATGTTTCAAGATGTCAAATCCGCTTCTCATTTGCATTCACATGGAGTGTGAAGCGGCCTTAAGAACTAACTCAGAAAAAAAGCTAACTATAAACGGACAGTTCAAACAGAAAAGGAAAACCTTGTCAGGGAATATATAATTTTAAATAGGAAACTCATGGCAAATGAAACCCTGCATGTCCCATTCCGCAATCAATCACCATTCCGCAATCAATCACCAATAAAATAAATTGCAAATTCAGTTTACTTGATATTTTCAACAACTAAATGAATTCCAGATTTTAAAAAAAAAACCTAACTGACGTCACTCTGTAGTTCGACAATCCAATAAAACTTCCATTTCAAGCGACAACAAATTTGCCAATAAAAAAAAAACCTTGATGTGTCCCCCTGGCAATCTTTTTTTCCTTTCCTCTTTTTATTCTTTATTCCTTTTCATTGTGAGGATAATGTCTGGGTGTAATTACCTACACATGTTGGATGCTAACGAGCAAATTCTCCTCTGCAGCACACCACCTGTGCGGGGCAATTTCAGCTAAATGAGCCACATTATTGTCCAACACTGTCCAGCCGCGCCGTTTAAATTATAGCCAATTTAAACAGGCACGTACGTACAGGTACGAGGCATGCATGCATATAAACCTGGTAGTTTCTACTATGTATACAGTGCGTGCGTACAGAGATTGGAAGGTTGAATTTAATTGTTGGGAAATTGCCAAAGGTCTCCTCAAAAGGAAAACATGCCATAAGAACAAATGATGTAAAATTACACACAATGTTTTCAGCGGTTTCGGTTTCACCCTGACGCAAATTCCATCTTATATTTGTTTAATTGCGGTACCCGCTGCTACATGTACATCAGATTCGACCCAGCCAACCGATCCCACAAGCTCGGTGGTCGAGTGGTAAGACGTCTGCACTAAAAAGCAGGAGGTCATGGGTTCGAGTCCCACCCGAGTGATTTTTGCCGACTTTCACTCGGGAGGTAACACACTGAGTATACAGTGTTTATACGTCGGTGAAGGGCAAAACCTAATATTGATTTACATCACCCGACACAAATTCCATCTTATGAATTAGGTTTCAGTAGCATTACCTAAATCACTAAAACATTAAAATAAATATGACATGACTCTCACAGGTTACTCCTACTGCCTACTGTACTTACACAATTAATACATGTATATGGCATGTACTATTAAAGTGTGTGATACCCCATTGAGAAACGAAACATGCATTACAATTAGGTCATTCCATAAATACGTGGTCCAATTTTTTGTGTCCCTGTTACAAATTGACATCTGGCATGTATAACATTTTGTGATTCAGGACACATTCTTTAATAATGCCTTTGGGCAATTCCACGGTTACTCACGTTACATTTTCGTAAAGTGAGTAACCAATTTTGTGTGTCTTGTTTATCATACATAACACATTTTTCTGGATGTCATCTTTGGTGCTTAGGTAGGTCTAGGTCTACTCTATCTACCATGAGGATAACAGTTATTAAACCTTTTCAGTGAGGTAATTACAGCCCAAGGAAACTCAAAAATACATCAAAAATGTAACGTGAGTAACCGTGGAATTGCCCCTAAGTCTATCTCCAACAGGGATTATGTAGAGCAAAAGTGCCTGCCAAACACATAAAAAAATAGTTTGAAGTCAATTTGAATGATACTTGCATGGCAAATTACACAGGTCAGGTGTAACAAGGACACAAACAAAATGGTCACACGTTTGGACCCCAAATGTATGGAACGACCCAAATACCCTTTCCAAAGGGGAAGAAAATGCATTTATGCTGAATTTCAACGTGGCGCACACATTAGGCCAAGTAATAAAATTAACCAGTTGATCGTCCCCGCCCGCATCCTTTTTTTGATGCAGCATCCTTTTACTTTTTTAATAATTTTTTAAATATTTTTTCTCACCTCAAAATGCTATTTTTGGCCTGCGTAAAACATGCATACATTGTAAATTGGGTAAAATACATAGAACATTGTTTAACTTCAATATTTTGACGCTACTTACTCTTTATTACTAGTAGGATAGCTGATAAAAAAAACTCAATGTCATTTTGAACTGAAAAGTCGGTGGCTATTTTGAATTTAAATACATGGTGGCCATCTTGGAAAAAATAAAAAACAAACTTATAAAGCCCCTCATCCTCCTCTTTTTGAAGGAACCTGGACGATAAACTGATATTTTTGATTACTTGGCCTGATTTATGACTTTTTAATGTCATTATTTGAATGACCCATATATTCCTGTCACACAGTTGTCGTGCTCAGATAACAACCCCACAGATACATTACATCATCTGTCAACTAGACAATTTAATTATATTTTTTTTGTCAGGATCTAGCTGTCCTGCCCTGAAATATAATGACACAGTTTACCTGCCAATGAAAACTGCAACGTTTTGCATCTGCAGTTATACCACCATATACAATGCACCAACCACAATCAAAGTATGCAAAATAAACCACGAATATTCATGAGATGTTAGAAAAGCACAATCTTTACCCAATCAAACCAAGATACATACACGCATGCAAAAACCTCTTCAGATGCAATCATGAATATTCACGACACCTTAATGACATAAACTACAAATCTTCCAATCCTAACAACAAATCAGAACACATGCAACTTCAGATGAAATCATGAATATTCACGACACGTTTTCTGGTGACACTATCTATCACCCAATCCCAACATGCCAGGCCATACATCATGTTTACTACCAACACACTGCACTTAAAAGTCCGGCAGTTTATTTTCCTTCCACATTTGAAGGGACAGCTGCTTTCATTGTGATTAATTTCATTCCATTAACCCCTCCGTTTCCCACCTTCAAGCCAGAGCCTTTAACCAACGACTCAGACGATGAGAAGAAGAAGAAAAAAAGACTTTAGAATCCGTCGGGCCAAATGCTCCAAGGCGCTGCCTCTGAGCATCATTTCCCTCTCTCAAAAAGATCTCTCTCTCTCTGATTAGGTGTTTGAAAAATGCTCTATAGCCACACACAGGCAAGCATGGACAGACCGTTTATTTCCAAGCTGGAAATTGTTCAAGCTAATCGATTCTGTGCTATTCAATGCAACTGCTTTTCAATCTGAACGAGCAGACTGCTTTTTTTTACACACTGGCTGATTAAGGTTGGATAGGTCTTTTTCACAGAATGTCAAGCTGTGACACCTTCACACACAGAGTGTTGTACTGGAATCCTTTTCTTTGATAGGGCATTTATTTTGAGCCCTTCTGGTCGTAGTGGACTGTAATCAGGGCTGTGTGATGTTGTGGGTGGCTTGCCACCAACAGGGGCCCAGTTGCTGCTGACAAGTGAAAAATAACAAGCAAAGTTTGGTGCTAAGCACGTGTCCGCAGGGAGCCAGTCTCAAGCAATTTACATGCACGTCTATGTCAAATTTGGTTGGTAACCCGTTCTGGCTTAGCAAATGTTTTCTATGCTAATAGGAAATATTTGTCTGTGCTCGAGAAGTTTCTGTGCCCAGTAGATCCATGACGTTGCCACCCTTGACAGAAATTTCCACATCTATTGATATGTTTACTGCTTAGTTTTTCACTTAGTTTGTTTTATTTTTGCAGATGACTGAGCTTACAAACAACTTGGTACTGCATGATACAAGTTTCCAGTGCTTCAGAGCTACAAGTGGGCAAACCTCTAGTAAACGTCCAGCAATCGTCTGTACAACTTTTACAATGAATCAACTTCTTTTGTAACTTTCCTTCAAGCTGTTGTAAGTTCCAGTGCCTGTCACTCACCACCATAATTCAGGTTTTGGAAAATGCATCAAAATTCAACATCATAATACGACTGCACCCACTGGTGAAAAGCTGGGATAAACCAGTTTTCATCACACTGCTGGGCAGGTTCACGTGGATATATGTTAAGACCCACAACCTTGGAGAAAGACCTGCGTAATATCAAGCAGCTTGACCACTTTTGGGAAAATACAAAGCCTGCCATTTACAGGTGCGAGAGAGTTGTAACTGTGGCTCAATTTGTCCAGTTTTACCACTGTCATCGCCTTCAAATTACATCCCATGATAGGAGGGATTTCTTTTCTTCTCCAAGCAGGATCACCATAACAGGACTGGGCAGTGAGAACCATCAATGTATCATCAAGCCCCACTCAGTGATTCCCAACACCCAAGCCACAAAAATGGAAGTTAGAGAACCCGCAGCGACCTGCCGGTGACCTTTCTCCAAATGGACCAGAGTGTAATGTAAAGTGAGTGCACTTCACGGCGAGTGGCATTAAGATAGGAATGGGCACGGCATTAAACAAGAAGCTGTAAACACAAGACACGCTCGTTGATTATGGAGCCTTTTTTCGAGGAGTTTTACTGCCACCTCAGTTATACACTGCGTTGGCTACTTTAACTGCAGCTCTGTTGGTTCTACACAAGCTTCAGATGGTCAGAACTTCTCCAATTGACCTATCGCCGTTTGCGAGTTAGCCACGCCCCTTAGACAACCCTATGGAGTTTGTGATCACTGAATTTTGTTTGTCTCAGATTTTGCGTGTTCCCCGTCCACTTGTACATCATGTAAGTGGACAATATTTCACAAGCTGCATTGAAGCGATTCTACCGTGATAGGTCAATTGGGATACCATTCATGAGATGGAAGAGTGTGTACGTTGCATGGCAAACGGAAAATTGGTTTTGTCAAATGTCAGACGGATCTTCAAAAACAAAAAGGGGTGAAAGGCCTGTGGAACCATGGATAAAAGTAAACACATTCAGCATGGTGAGAAGTCAAAACATTTACTTGCTCTGTTCTTCTGATTTTGTGACAAACAACTCAGAAAAGGCTTTCTACAACTGCGTGTGCATATCTGGATATCAGTGGAAATTATCTTAAAACCAGCGAAGCAGCAAGCTCCACCTTGGACATGGACATCACTCCTTGCACGGCAGCTCAGCAACCAGCGGTCCGGCAAAGTCACACAACAAACAGGACATTTAATATCGCCACACCAATTAGACCAGCAATATATTCAATTCTCGCCAATTTCCCCTCGAAAAAACCTCACTGGAGATGGCATTTCACGATTGCCATGGAGACGCGTGGCAACAACGAAATGGAATTGTAAATGCGATATATCGCTCTCCTGCAGATGACTCACGTGTTCCTGCGCGACAAGACCCATTGTTACCTTCTAAGTGCACCTTGCATATTACCCACAAGGCTAGGGATTTCAACTTGAAAGGTTCTGGTGGAGCGGTCTCAAGATTGGAAGGATTAGGGCAATTTCTTAGATGACGGAGATCCATCAGGAGTGTCATTATTGAGCCTGCAACAATGTCCCCCGTCGATGAAATCCACCTGGTGTACTACAAGTACAGTTGGAGACATTCATGTCGGACAAAAGGACTGTATGAACGGTGGAATAGTACAAGGCCCTGCATTTACATGTGCACAACTTTGAAACGACTGGATGATATGCTTCAAGAATGGTAAGCACACAATGCGCATTATTCTCAATTCAATTAAACGTCTGGCTTATTGGATTGGATACACTTAATAGTACATGAAGAAGAGCTGTGCATGTGTTTGCACTACTCACCCAAAGCAATGGTTGTTTTGACATACATGTACATGCATTCATCAAAGTTAAATTAAGTGTTTTGGGTTACCTGCAAAATTGCTGAGCCCCATATCCTCAAACATTTCTGCTGTACATACATTCTTCACATCACCAAAGTATGCGTGAGTTGTCACTAAAATTACGGAGAGAAAATTATTTCAAATGTGCCAGCCATGCATCGGTGCTTCTTACTTATTCTTATTTGCAACTAAAAAAAATAATAATCTGATTTTGTTAAGCTAATGAAATCTATCAGTGAAGCGTATCCATCTCCTCACCACCACAAATCGAAATTCAAAAGGAGAGAATTACAAAATGCTCAGTCCATTCCCAGTGAGTGACGCTCGCCGTGGCTTAACTTGACATGGGTTCGTGCTCCGATGTCTGCACAGATTGCGAAAAGAGATTACATTTTTCTCGTCGCTCGTCGCAAACCAGTCACTTTCCCAATCACGGAAAGGTTGAGAAGGTTACCCATCCCCCCCTCCCCCCCCCCCCCTTTCGACCAACAATGCACATTCAGGATTTCTAAAAACCAATTATTCAAACGGGACCCGGAAACAAGTCAGGAAGAAAAGAAAAAGAGAGGTGGCCCCTTGCAAGTTGCATGCTGAGGGAAACCCGGCCCCTAGACACTATTAAATTGAAATTTCTATCGGCTCATCAATCACGGGAAGCACTAAAAATGTGGCAATTGCCGACAGGATGGTTTCAGCAGTCACTAGCGAGTGTGTGCATGTGACAGCGTGTGCCTGTATTTACCATCGCTGGCTGGTGGATGTTTCAATTCAACATCAGTGTGTTTTGTGTTTTGCAGAGAGAAATAGTTTGAAGTTCTGCTGTAGCTGTGGGGACTGTGAGCTACTCATGAGGATTTTACAGGGGCTTTCATCTGAGGTAAGGTATTTTTTTAATAACTGCAATATTCTGTGTATTGATCATCTATCTTGTGCAGACAAATATGCGAGTCTGGATGACTAACACATGTAACTCCGTGCTAGTGATGCCTAGGGATACAACTCCCATGTACTGTTGCATTGCTTTTTGTTGAATTCAACTTAAAAAAAAAAAAAAGAAAGCTGAATTAACTTACTGCGACTAATTTAATAGTCATCACAACATGCCAAAGTTTAACAGTAGCATTGACAAGCTCGATCGGACATATCTCGGAGGCTGCAGGCCAACAAATTCGCGTTCATGCACGAGTCGCGTGATTGTGCCATGTAATTTCTGGGAGCAGGAGAATTTTGAGTAAAATAAAATCAGATTTTTGACCACAGTGACCCCAGGTTGGTGACCCCAGGTTGGTCATGTGACATGTTGGGGCTGGGCTACTGATACTTTTGACAAAGTTTGGTTGAAATCGGTCAAAATATGTGGGGAGCAATAGACAATGTCAACGTTTGTTATCAACTAACTAACTATAACTAATGGACTAACGAAGAGACATGATGATTTGTTGAGCGGCTATCCCGCAGCTAAAACAAGAAATGAGAAATAGAAGGGGTCAGTAGTTAATGACATCTTTATCTTATACTCTCATTCTGCAGAAACAGGTCACAATTGCATTACTGGCAAGTCTGTGTTCCAAGATTAAACCATGACATCAGGGGTCCAAGGATACATATACACATAACTTGACACCCAATTATTTAGACAAATTACAAGTCAACTCCTAAGTCAACCCAGTTGAAAACAAAAAGAACAACTTGTGCAGTAATGAACAAGACAAAACAAATCCCCTGAATTTACAGCCCCAAAGGCTGAGGGTCGCTGCTCCGGTTTCAACTTTACAACCACACCTGCCCCCCAAAAAACGATAAACAATCCAAATTTATGCCCTGCATTTTCTTTTCCTCATAAATAACGTCGGGCCGACACCTGGTTTTGGCTAATAAAATTTGTCTTGGAAATGTCATTAAAGATGATTTTCTCCGAGCTAGGGTTTCAGATTATAGGGATTCCAGAGTGCATCAAGTTTATGTTTTTGTAATGGCAAATGGCATTTATCAAAAATACAATTTAAAAAAAAAACAATTACGAGATTGATGGATGATGACCCACATTCATCAAAAGCCAATTACATTGCTGTCATGATGAAATTAACTATGATTTTTTTTACTCGGCTTGCTCACAGATCTCTTGCAATCTCACTGCCATTGAACATAGCCTCTTTTGAATATTCATTTCATCAAATGAACTTCCCGTTGAACATTCATTTCATCAAACACTGAATTCTCTTTTGATAATCGCTGAAGTAACGACAGCAAAATGACAAAGAGCGTTCTATTTGGTAAGGTCTGCCCCATCTTGAAATGATCAGGACGTCATTATCGAGACAATTCCGATATTGAGGAAAGCTTTGCAGTCATTTCCTTGTGTTGCCTGGCAATGATTTTGATCGTGAAACCCAAAGATACCCTGGAGAACCAGTTAATAACTTCTGTTTTAATTCCTGCCCGTCGGGGCGGACATCTTGAGGAAATTTCCTGGGTTTAGTCAACCTCTCCCCTTCCAAGGAATTTTCATATTGGGGTTCTGCCCTTCACCAACGCAACTTTATGGTACACTTAAAAAGCTGTCGCAGAGAGAAACTCAGCAGCTTGCTGCATTGGGACTCGAACCCATGACCTCGTGCGTACTGGTGTAGACGTCTGAACCACTCTCCTGCACAAACAGGCAGGAAGTTTAGGGTTCGAATCCCACCCTAGCAAGCATGTGAATTACAAATGTAGTTTTCATCAACTATCAGAGTCGGTGCTGAAAAAAACAGCTCTCCTAAAATTAGATCAGCAAGAAAAAAATCTAATATTCAAAGTTACATCTCCTCACAGTTTTTCCCCTCGATTAATTTTTGTAATGGACTTCGCAAAAAAGCCATCAGAAGGAGGTTGGCAACATGCCAGTAAATGTGCTCTCACAGCCTGTCCAATAGAAAAGTAATAAATGTTCTCCCTCCAAAGTAATTGGAAACACAATTGATGGGAAGTTTACAATTACGTTTTCCCTGTCCAAATAAACTCCTTGATGGGTGTGGGTGTGAAAACAATCATCTATCACGATGAATTGCAACATCCCTTCCCTACTCCAGTTTCTACGAAAACTCGTTTACAAAATGTATGTACTGTATGTACTCCCCCCCCCCCCAAAAAAAATAAACTGTAAATAATTATCCCTCTAAATCAACTTTTTAAGCATTTATTTGTTTTTCTCTTGACGTTTTGTTTTTCCAAGATAATCCATTTAAAATTATAATCTGGGCTTACTGGTGCTAAATGCACTTTCGAAAGTTCAATGAAGATTTTTGTTTTCACTGCCATGTTCCATGTTAAAGGGACCAGCCATGTTATTTTTAAATTTCGCCAGCGTTATTTCAGGTTAACCTTACTTCCCACATTGAAAAAAATTCCAGGGGGAGTACGTGTTTCACTCGTTAAACCCCTAAAATTACATGCGACTCTTGTTAACATCAGTTATTGACTGGCATTCTGAACGGACTAAATCCAATTCAAAGGCCAACCCATACCACCAATCGGGCTGAAATGCTAGCCTGGTGTGACAAGCGTCTAATCATCGGCCCAACATGTCCCGTTTAATTGGTAATTAAGGTCTAAAGCAGAGAGCCATCACGTGTATGGATACAAGGGTGTTCCGGGTTTAAAATACCACCTCCGTGGAGATCTTTAGAGGGAAATTCTATAGGCCACAGGACAGGATAAATCCCAAAAATAACTCGGGTGTGACAGTGTCTTTTCTGTTTCTTTATTGGCACTCGTTAATGGGGATGAACTTTTAACAGTGTGACCAATTGCAACTCCTGAGTCATGGAGTTCTGTATTCAGAATGGCCTGAAGCTTTACACGTATGAACACAGAGCTGTAAATTTGAAAAGTTGGCACCGTGAGTGGGGGGTACCGGCGCAGTGCTGGTAATTTGTTGGCATTCTTGAGCAGCCTAACAACCAATCCTGCTGTGTCGCAAACTGAAGGCTTACTGATCTGCCTCACAATAAATGACCCACAAGATACTAAATTAGGCTTGAGCTTACAGTAGGTAAAAGAGGCTATAGTATGTAGAATCTTTTCCCGGAAATAAAAATGCTGTTTGACTGTAAAGACATTTAATCACTGGGTACAATTATAGTTAAGTTTGTGTCTGATTTAGCCATCCAACATGGGACAAACATTTAATAGGGAGTGCTTGCACGAGCAGCGTTACATCTGTATGTGAACATGAATGTAAATAAACGTAAAAATACGTAAATGCACATGCATGTGTCTAAACGGGTGGTTCCTGCTCAAAAGAGAGTAGTTGGCTATTATGCACAAAAGAAAGTGTGTTTTGCACTAGATATGCAACTTATGTAAAAAAAAAAATAAAAAAAAATTTAAAATAATAATTCCAGTATTCACAATAGAACTTAAGATGTAAGCTACTACCGGAGTAGCGAGGAACAAAGTGGCAAAAAGTTTGGCATATAAACAATTTATGACATCATGGTAACTGACAGTGGTCATGTATATTTTTTTTGTAAAAGTTGATGACATTTGTACTATGGCAAATTTCCCCCCAAATGTTTTCATCACATCGATTTATGCATTGGAGTGAATTATAACCCAGCTTTTCTGTTCTACTTTGCGCCAAACCAAATCTTCTCATGCTAGAATTTTTAGAAACTTCAGTCTCCCTGAGGGGAAAAATTAATATCGATATCCACAGTTCTTTTTCTCCTGACTGCTCAGTCAACAAATGAGCGAGATCTCTCCTCACCTGCGGGCTGCAACAGCTGTCGGACTGGTTGGGGGAAAAAAAAAAACGACAGAGAGCGGATGTTTTGATAAAAATTGTTCCAGAATACGACCCCCTGAAACCATAACCGACACAGCAGGCTACAGTAATGGGTCAGATATGATTCACTTATAGCACTGGATTTAGAGTGCATGCCAGCAGCAAACAATTCCGTGATGTGTTTAAAAGGCTTTGGATCAGATTCCTCTACTGTGAAATTTATCAAAATTGTTTATTATAGTTTTCTCCTTTTTTTTGGGGGGGGGTGTGTTTTTTTCCTCACCATTTGAGAAAGCAGCCCTGGGCTTCAGATGGGCAACCTTTTGGAAACAGCACCGCATTCACGTGAGTGAATTTCGAGACCATTGCTTGGAGGTGACGTTGAATTATGTGACTTCCGAGCAATATGAAAGACTCTAAAATTGCGTTTAATCCAATCAGGATACTGTTCAAATTGATTTATCTCATTCCTGCGACACAACGCAACATTGTGTCGTGGAACGGCATGAAAGAAAACATACTTTGCCGCATAAATTAACATATGGTTAAAACCTGCCCAAACTATGCACCAGATAGCTTATAATGTACATGCACATGTGAATTTGTGTGTACTGTGTATAATATATTTGCATTCCCTAAAATCTGAAGCTAATTGTACAAGAAAAGACACAGTTTCCTCACACGACTATCCCACTTGCCTTTTCTATATAGCAATTATACCTGCAAGTGCAGATCATGGAATAGACACTTGATACTAGTTTATGTACATTCATGTGTCGCATGTATGATCACTACAAGGACGGCTAACTTTTGTGTTTCTATATTCATATACAGGGTGGGCCAAAAAAAAAAAACCGAAAGGCGAAACGGCGTACTTCCGCTACCTCAGACTCAAACAACCTAAATCAATGCATGGGGAATTCTGTTAAAAGAAAACGGATACCAAGATCGCCCGATTCGGTCCAGCAGTTTTTGTTCTAGAGCCTATTTTGTGAAACAAAGTCGGGAGTCATTTTTGTCCCAATGAACTTCTAAAACCGTGTCTGTGAATATGACTTAATTGGATAGAGGGATAATTTGTTATGTAACAACACCCACATGAAAGATGTGTGCTTCACAAAATAGGCTCTGCAGCAAAAACTACTGGAGCGAATCGGGAGATCTTGGTATCATATTTCTTCTGAAAAGATTCTCCATCCATTGGTACAGGTGGTTTGAGTCAAGGCAGTGGAAGTATCCTGTTCTGGTTTTTTTGGGGGGGGGCACCCTGTATAATGTGTTTCTAAACAAAACAAATTACAAAGTACAATTGCGTATTCTTTAGTTCAATGCAGTTCATTAATTTTTTTCCAATATTCAATTAAAAATGGCAAAGTACAATAAGTGATGGTCTTCAACAACAAGCATTTTCCGAAATAATATCACAACGTTCCCTCTTTCTTTTCTTTTGTGAACGACCCACATTTTTCTCTCCTATTTGTTAAGGTGAGTTGCTGAACCACTACCTCTTCCATGCTTCCACTGCACACACGGCCTTAAAAAAAATATGTAAAATGAACCCATAATTGGAGTGGCGACAGACGTGACACCCTTCCCCACTCTGGAAATCAATGTTTAAGATGGCACCACTATAAATCAATCTATTTCTCCCTGGTTGGCAACATTTCAAACTGGTACGATAACCTGATTAATTGGAGGGGGTTTGGCAAGTTCCGGCCTCCTTAATTACCGGTGAGAAAACCAGGATATATTTATGTGTGTCTCCAAAGGGGTTAAACACACAACGCTCAACCGAAAATGAGCGATATGACCCACCCACTCTCGGAGAAACCAGGCATAAATGATGCTTTTTAGAAAAATCAGCCAGTTTCCTTTTGTCTAATGAGAGAAAGCCTTGGACCTTTGGAACCAGAGAAGGTGAAAATGTGGGGCCCCGCCAAATTCAATTTATTGATCAGCCCCAATCCGGTGTAATATAAAGTAGGGCGGACCAGGCCAGCCTGGAAAATGGGGCCAAGTAAATTACAAGTTAATGTGGATGCCATTAAAGTAATATCGTTAATGTGGAGGGATCGGATATCAGGTCTTGGGCGCCCTGGCCGTAGAGTAGAGTAGAGTGAATTTTTTTGAGTTGCATACATTTGAGCTGAGTGGGGACTTGGGTTTGGAGTGAACCGTAATATTGCCGGCACTACACTGGACGGCTTTTTATTGGGTCAGTGTGGGGGCTTGCATACACAAGCAGTTTTCCGTTGTGCTGGTTAAGAAACGGAGTAATTTTCAAGAAAAGGGTCCGGAAATTATTCAAAGGCAAAATGGGGGGGGGGGGGGGTCTTGACCTACGGTTTGCATGCTCAACTGTACATCAACGTAGGGATAATGCAATGTAATCTGAAGGCCAGATTTTGTAATACCTTGAAAGTACCTAAGAGGACGAATCAAAATTCACTGCCAATTGAGAATGTACAGTACATGTACGCTTTAAATGCATGCAATAAAATGTCAAAATCGCCAGTTGGCATAACTTACATGTAACTTTGTTTGTCCTGTTGCTAAAAAAAAAAAACATCATCCAGAACTACAAAGATAAATTATCATAAAAGTCATTATGAAATTGGCAGTGGCGGCTTCAAGAACCTTAGAAAATTACTTCAAGGCTCAAGAGAAAATCCCATTACTGATGAATAAAAAAAAGAGGGAAAAAATCCCATTAAACTAACTTGACCCAACTGTACTCAAATATCTCAATTCTAAATCTCAGCGGCTTTTTTTGTATTTATTTATTTCATCCCCGACCGGCTAAGTCTCTTTCAATCCTTTAATCTGGGGTGTCAGAGTGGCGAAATAATATAGACTCTATACTGATTGAGGGCTTGATAGATAGTATACTATTAAGAGGCATGGATAAAAACGTGGACGCTGAGCTTTGTACATGAAAAATGGCGGAAGAAGGCACAGGAAAAAAACTAGAGATAAATTTATTTAAGTATGCACAAGATGGTTTAAGAGTTTTAGTTTAATTACATGTGTTTCTAGTAATAACAAAAAGAATGCTCTGTCTTCTGATGAAGGGCACTGAAAGCGTATTAATTTGAGTTGTACCAAAAAACCCCCAGATTTCTCCTCAATTAGACATAATTTGCAATCACTAAGTATCAGATGAATCTGATCAAGGATATGCCTACTGTCTCAGGTTCCTTTAGAAAATATGTAAGGTAAAAAAAAAGTGCAGAATTTCATGTACATGTTAACAGAATCATGCCTGTTTGTGGCTGGTTTATAAAGTGCATGTAGGTAATCTATTGTGTGAATCGATAAGGAAACTCATTTGAAACAATCTATGGTTAAAACTGACTAGCATGATGGCAGAACCATCTCCCTCTATGAGGTTATGCTATCCACTTCTTCAAAACCTCTATTCAAAATGCACCTTGCCCCTTACACCTGTGCCTCCAAACTCTCCTGCCGATTCCCCCTCAAAGAAGGAAGGAAATTCAAGCCCTGCCTGACATTGACTACAAAGCCGCTGAAATTAACCTGACAGCTACCGATTCTAATCACAATATGAAATCTTGATTGGGCCCAACAAGCTGTCGGGGGGCTCTGCATTAATACAAATCCAAGGAGAGGAGGGGAAAAAAAAAGAAGGGGATATCGGTTGATAAATAGCTTTTCATCAAAGGCTGAAAGTCAGGAGATTAAATTGGATTTCTCATGTTGTAACTTTAGTGATACATTTTTTCCGCCCCCCCCCCCCACCTCTCTCTCTCTCAAAGGATACGATACAGTCTCATTTCGGTGGACTAAAATGGCCGGAGGTTGTTTTTGCAAATCAGGCGTGAAACGGGTTAAGAATGTTTTGCATCTGTTCCGAGTCTTAAAAAAACAACATATCAATCGATTTAATCTTCAATGAAAATGTCTTTGCTCAACTCAAGGAGTAAGGAGTTCTTTGTTCCTTTTTTTCATTTGGTTTAGTAAAAAATCAGCAAATACTTCACAGTTTTTCGACTGGCTCATCCTGAACGGAGTGTAAAACAAACCACGGTTTCAAGAAAATTACAGTGCCACGGAAGGTTTTTCGAGTCAGTTTCGATGAAAAACACCTCAATAATAACCAGGCACCATCTGTTCCACATTATTTTTTTTGGAGGGCCATAAGAGTCGGATTAGTTATAAATGAAGGTATCCCATTTCTAGCCGACCAATTTTTATAAAATTCCCCACAGTACCAGAAATTTGTTTCAGATCATGTGTCCAGATTTCCCCGTTTGTTGTTTTCCCCCCGAGCATAAAATTCTTGGGTTGTGGGCATTTCCCCGGTTGACAGCACAAGGGGCCATAGTCTTTCCCCATAGATGATAAATATTCCCCATTGCTTTTTTTTTTTCTTTCCTTCGCCCATCGTCTTTCATTCATTACAAGGGCCCTAATCTACATTCCTGAATTACCTTCAGGCATCTGGTCAATGTTGCCACATGCGCACACGCTCTCTCCTTCTCTCTCATATATATAGCTCAACGCTATCACAATAACGGCCTAGTCCTTCTTTCTTTATTAATCCATTTCCTCCAGTCCCTAAACTAACAGTTGTCCCCACTCCCGCGTCAAATTTCCTCTCTTCTTCAATAACTCAATTTCCTGAATTTCATACCCAGGGCAGGCACTTAAAGAAAGCCAGATTTCGGTTGCGGTGTGTTTTTTTTTTTTTTTTTACCAATAGCAAAATTGCTGATGTATCATACCGGTGTGTTACTGGCAATGAGGATAAATGTTTGCGTTGAGTGGTTTAAACGCGCAATTTATTTCGAGGGGATTTTTTGGAGGGATGATTCGAAAAGTGAAGACCCACTTAGTGTAATGAATCACACTGAGACTATACTTATCCAGGTCACCTCGCCTGACTAACGACCTGCAGGCTGCATTTGTATGCATATTCTCACATTAACATCCCCTTTCCTGCAAACCGTGTATGAAAACTAATATCTTTATCGTTGAAAAAAAAGGGCCTGCAAGAGCTTCCTTGCTTTGCAAAATCAACACCAAAATAATGCTGTAAAAACACAATATTATCGGCGCTATTCAAGCCGGAATCTTACACAAATATTTGCCTTCTGCAGAAGCTGAATTTATCATTGCGATAACACGTACACGTAAATAATACCACCGATACCTTCAACTCCAATTTTTCTCCCTTTCTGTATTTCTCAGGTTTTTTTATTATTATTTTTTTCTCTCTCTCCTTCCTTCTGCGCAGGTGGAAGTCCGGAGAAACGTGCGTCGTCTAATTGTGTCTGGATTGTTTTCAAAAGTACGTACACTGGAAACAAGATTCCAGGCCCAGGGGGGGTCGAGTGAGTGCCCGGATTCCGGAATTGTTAAAAGGTTATCCCGTTTATCTTCTATAATTAAATGTCTGCTAGAGTAGTTCCCTCCATTTACCGCGTCCGTTACTGAATCCCGCAGAATACCCCCGGCAGAAACCAACAGCCCTGTGAGATCGAAGGAGTAACCTTTTAAGCTGTCCCAAACGCCATCGGGGAACAAGTGCTCCCCCCCAAAAAAAAAATTAGATTATCAAATCAGACTCTGCAAACATTGGTGTAAGGCACACGTGACGTTGTCCATGATTACAAGTGGGTATATACATGTATGCGGCCGAGTTGTTTGTGTTTCTTCAGGGTTTGTGATCAATCAAAGAAATGTCAACATGATATGGAAGTCATCTCAGTTTTAACCAGTTCAATAAATCAACACCACACTTGATTGGATTATTAAAACTCAAGCAGTCAAATCTCCCAACTAAAGTCATCTTTTTTTTCTTTTTTTTAACATTTCATGTTTTTATTATTAACGACTCTACACTAAGTTTGAAATTTTTCCACGACTACATTCAATTATTTCCTAACTATGCGTGGGATGCATAAAAACTTGAACACAGAAAACATCCATCTTGCTTGACACATTCTCCAAATCCTCTTGCAGCTTTCATCTTTTTCTCTTCAATTCAGACCCGTGCATTTACTTTTTTTGACAGAGATGCTCCTCTCGACGTCTTTCTCTCCGTAATTTCCAATGCCTGGAGGAATCTCTCTCCTGCTCGGCTGTGCTTGCTGAATGGAATCAATCCCAACAGGTGACAACTGACATCCTAACAATTCACCGGCTTTTATCAATATCGTCCCGATGATGATGAAGACATCCCGCAGGGGGGGAGAGAGAGAGCAAGACGCAACCATCAACGGTAATATTTACCTCTCTGTTAAAGAGTATTTGAATGCGCCCATCATTTGTCGGCTCCATTTTTTAAAGCAGATGTTTCGGATTAACGTAGAGCTAGGGCACGGCCTCCTAACGGGGACTTCATGGAAGTGATTTTTCCTCGCAGTCTTTTTTTTTCTTCCCAACTGCAAATTATTTAGTGATAGTAAAACCAGAACAAAATTCAACGTTTGAATCTCACTTTAAAAATGAATGTGCTAACATTAAGCGTACGTCTGTCACATCGGTGTATAACAGGTAGGCCCTAATGTTTCAATCCACCGCATGTCGTGTATTCATGAGGTCCGGTAATGAATTTGCAACCCAAGATCTCTTGATCCATTCCAGAGCAATCCAATTAGTCGACATTTATTTATTTTTTTTTCCCTTTTCTTTTTTTCCTGTGGTTCACATTTCCAATGCAAATTTCTCACGACCCGCTGGATGCGCCGGGATCATTTCTCTGATGCCAATCGGCACAATTCTTGATTGCGAGACTTTGACAGGGGTCTGAGGGCCCACTTTTTGATCTGATATCGTGACCAATATTGATGCCGGCGATGTCGGCGGGAATGGATGTTTCTCCCTGATTTCTTTTACTTTTTAACATAATCTTCCCCGGGTGAATAAGCCCGACACCAATTTATCCAACGTCGATGATGCTGGCATGGGGATGCCAACGCAAAACCCCGGCGAAAAACAAATGATTACGTCTGACCACAGGCAGGTGCATTTATCAACAGGCGAGCTCCCAATTAGTGTGACACGGACGTCTCTGATAGACCTGGCAGAGGATCGGGAGGGAAGACGATACACGGGCTGGGGAATACGGGACAAGACTGGAAAGAGTGGGTGGCGGAATCTATCAACATCGGAGGAGATATTTATCTACATTCACAGGTAAATCTGACATTTCAAATTACTCATCCAAAGACGACAAACGACTGCATAATGCTGAACCATAAATGTGTACATGTATACATGACACTCCTAAATCTAAAGCATATCAAAGTATAATTAATGTCTTAACAAAAGAACTGTGCTGTTATCTTGATTTCAGTTTTTGCTAATCGAGGTTGATTATAGGGTACACAAAACAGTTGACATATGAACTGTGTCCTGTTTTTTGAAATATTTCCTTACAATTTCTTTGCATTCTGATTGAATTCGCTTGATTTAAATACTTTTACTCAATCCTCCCAGATTGATGACTAGAAATCATTCACGAGAGCCTTCCACACGACAAAGATGTCACGTATCATGTGTATTGAGGACGGACAACTATTGCAGAAAATGAAAGTCTGTCGGTGTCAACTTTCAATCCACGAGGGTAAGTTTCCTCTTACATTAACAGGCAGCTTCTATTTAATGGAAGCGTCTTTTCCACCTACTACTGTTTCATTTTTACATTTAAGGACAAACGTATCCAGAAATGTATAAATGTTGATTGCAGACAATGTCGTGAAAAAAAAGTCACACAACACACTTGACTGCAGTATTTGGCCAAGTACATGTGCACAAAAGCAAGGGCAACTGCAGAGCAGTAGAGAGTCACAGCCCCCTCTGTGGGCTGATGCAGGTCATGCAAACGGAGCATAATCTCTTAATATACTGTACGTGGATCCCTCAGCAACCCGGAGATTGTCCACAAGGAAGGCGACAACCTATTGAACAATCGGGCCCAAGGTGGCACGTCTTGATTGAGCTGTGCACGCACCTTAATGGAAGGCCCGTAATGTACAATCCCGGCATGCTGGAATCGGAGTACTTTTCATCAATTACCTTCTTTCAATCCTATACGCCTTCAGTGATCGAATTTTAAACCCAGACGATGGGATGAAATTTAAGACCAACAAATCAATGGGTTCCAAAAGCCGTCACCTACATACAGCCACATATTTATTCCAAAGAGATCAATTTTGGGAAGAAGGGTGAAGTAATGGCTCAATCTAATTAAACTAAAATAAAAGGCTGAAGAATAATCTGACTTGAAAAAAAACTCCGAAGAAAAACAAAATGTGAAGTAGAAATACATTTGAATTAATAATAAAAGAGATTTATGTCATTTAGGAGACGCCGACAAGAGGCTCTGAAAATGAAATCAAATCGAAAGAAATGTTTCGTGGAAGATTGTTTTTGTTGTATGCAAAGCATGCAATTCATGAAAACGAAAAGTAAGCGCATTAAAGAAAACTTGGCCATACCGGGCAAACAACACATGATAAATGCAATCCGATCTGTGCATGATTCATCGACATTTGCATGTCTGCACATGTTGTTTCCGTAATTTTCAAACATTGCATGCATGTAAAGGGACTACCTTCAGTCCAGGAGGAAAATACTGAAAATGTCATATTTGATCGTCTACTCCTAACACAGATGTATCGTAAATGTGTGTTTTGATTTACATGGAAAACGCAAAACACCCCCACACGTGTTTTTAACGTTATCGTAGAATAGAACTCAAAGAACTCGCCCAGCATATCAACTCTTGTACAAACAATAAAAATGCGCATACAAAAAGAACAAAAATCAACAATGCAAAAATGAACTCCCAACTAAAATAGGTTTCAAAACCATACACGTTGTTGAATGTTTTAAGATGTTAGAAAGCTGATGCATCTGAAGAGGCAACTGAGCTTCAAAACTTAGGAAAAAAACTTAAACTATGAAATCTAAAAGGCATTCAAATGCAATATCAAAAGCAACTTATAACCTTAATTGTGCGATATCCAATATTCTACAGTGGGGATATGCTGTTTTGTATAGTTGAAATGAGTTGCGTCCAAAATACCTTCGAACCTTTCTGTTGGTGTCTTCAGGAATGCAGCTTGGCATTTAGTAAAAACTAGAAATTCCAAACCACACAAGACTTTGTACAGCATTTTTCAATTTGTAATAGCATTCATGAGAAGAAAAAAAAAACGAGGAAATCAGCGGATCCGAGGAAAAGTTGTATGCCTGTGTCTTGTTGGATTGAGACTGAGAAGAATTCACACTAGCAAGGTTTTTTTTCTCACAATCTGATATTGATGGATTTGGCAGGATTCAACCCTTGAAGCAGGGTTACCATAGGGAGCGATTCCACATTGTCAACATTCAGGCAGTGGAACAACGACAAATCTAAAACTGCAGATTCGGTTTTCACTTAGAATACTTTCATTTTAAACACGCTCGGGCAACCTCGCCATAGATCAACACTTATCATTCGCAGTCTCATATGAGACCTCATTTCACAAACATCTACCACTTAATTTTCAGATGAAACCGAGGAACGAACAATTTCAGTTTCACACACGTTATCCTACACATCCCGCATACCTTGCGTGTAAAACCAGGATTGCAACAGAGCCAATCGCTTGTCAGGAATGCCCTTGGCCACTGTCCGTTTCGGCAGCTAGTCACCAGACTTGAGTCAGGATGACTAGTGACGGTCTTGTCATAGACCTGCGACTGCCAAGTGCTTGTCACTTAAACAAGTGTTGCACGTTGCTACGTTTGGCAGGGTTCTAGCAAACATACCCTGGAGGGTGAGGGTTTAAAGATTCAAGTCATTTTGGTTTTGCTCCTATTTTTTTTTTACGATACAGAAGTGAGAGAGAAGGACTTACCCGGCCTCGTTGGGTCCATGGAGTTGGGCATCATGCCTTGTGAATTGGGGATACCACCGGGTGGAGGCTGCATAAACATCAGGTAAAAATAAATATTAAAATCTAGACACCAACAAGGAAACTTTCTAAAACTCAGCAATTTTCCTTCGAAATCCAGACACCGCTAAGGAAACTTTCTAAAACTCGGCAATTTTCCATCGATGCGGTCCATGCAGTACTACCCATTGAGATACCTTAACCCTCATTTTCTAGCTGGCAAATTCAGCTACGCCATCACAGCAGTCAAAATCAATCAAGTGACTGTTTTTTAACAGTCAAGATTTCCCTTGTTAATTTGATATAACCATGCTTTGACTGGAGGTGATTGATATGCCAGCTGTACCTACCAGTTACCTCTTTTGTCTGTTGATGGAATTTGACTGGTCACAGTGTTTACACGAAAGTGATCCGACTGTTTTTAACTAGTCTGTATACAAACACATGGCAAGGAAAGTGGAAGAAATTTTTGACTGTCTGTGAATGATCCAATAAACATAAAGATTCTATGGTTGCATGAAATAGTTCATTGGCCAGCATATATATAAACCCGAACATCTGGAATTTCCAGGCTCAGAAAGAAAACTTCAATTTTAAATCACCGTGAAATTGACGGAAATTAAATAAAGGATTTGGTTTTAAAGGAGTCTTCCTTTAGAGGAGACCAGGCTCAGGCGAACATTCCGTGGCAAACTTTTGGCGAAGAATTCAAACAAATTTGCATTAAACAAAATTGGGAATAAGACAAGTACAATAACAGGATTTATCAATTGTTTGTCAATAGAGGGCAGCATTCTCATTGCACATCAGAAGGAGGATTCTGACATTGCTCATTGCTGTCAACAGAGGGGGTAGTTCACATTCACCAGAAATTACATTTCACTTGCTTTTGGGCCACATTCATAACAATGCAACTGGCAAAGCGTAAAATGGCAAAGTGTACTCTCCCAAGAATTTGAATTCAAATTTGAATCATTGGAATGGACAAGCTTATAAGTTAATAAATGATATAACTGGAAGTCAAAAAATAGAAAATCCTAACAGGCATACATGTTCATGTACATGTACATGTAACTAATAGTGCTGGTATGTAGCATACATTTACATACAATGCCTGGGCACATTGTCGGCTAGAGCTAGAATATGATCATATTCCTATACCCAGATTTTCATAATCTGAAATTGATTAACCTATTTTTCCTGCGTGCCCACTGAATGGGCAGCATGTGGCATTTCTCATTAGAACGGCACTACATCTGCAAATTTGCATTTCGCGTGAAAAAAACCCCTGAAATAAACTCTATTCCCCCCTGAAAGTGGTGCAAGTCGCAGGTTACTCCCCAGCCAATGCCAGAACCTATGGGTGGAGAGAGGCAAGTAGGGGTAAAAGGGCTTGCCCAAGGACACAACAGAATGTCCAGATTTGAACCTCTAACCCTCTGATCGTGAGTCTCAAAACTGAACCAAAATGGGTCACAACCCCCACTGAAAAGTGGCGTCCGTCAATCACTGTCACTGCCCGTCAAATAACTCCCAAAGAGAACGGAGACCACAATTTCCTCATTCCAGCAGTTATGCTGATGTAGATAATAACTGTGAGAGTGTTTGTTTTTACTGACAGACTTCACGCGCATTGTCAAAAACTGTTGGTAAATAGATTGATGGAAAAGAAAGTTTGGGGGGAGGGGAGAAAATGAAAGAATGTTTGAGTGTCGCACCGTGCGTCTCACCTGACTCCCTGGCATTCTGACGGGACCACCTCTTGGGCCTGAGTAGCGGGGTGACATGAACGGCTGAAAAATAAGCAAAAAGAGGAGAAAACATCATCAAAACATCATGGCAAACCTGTTATCTTTATGTCTGATTATTTCTATTGTATGAAGCAAATTACTTTCACAGCAAAGAACTTTCACACTAATCCTAGTATCTCCATGATTCCTCAGAGGTTTTGAAGGGATTTGAAGGATTTTGCAACTTGATAAAAGGTAGAGCCGGGGCACTAAATTGCAAAAAAAAGTACACAGAATTTGCCGCACTTTCCTGCACAGTCCATGATTTTGAGGGATTCGATGAGGTTCCTATTCAGATTGCCAGGGGAGTTTGGATTTTTTTAAAAATGCTGCGTGATGGTTGTTACATACAGACACAACTCCCTTAGACTAAGTCACAAATTCACACCCATTTGAAAGACTGCTCAAGATGTGAAAAGAGGCTCCAGACTTTTTAAAGTAAGGAAATTGATTGGACAAATATCACTCTTTCTATCTTGTTCAAAGAGTAAAGCGAATGTGACAATGTGCTCCAAGTTTAATGCAAGTTTAACAGGTAGCTTTTGGCTCAAGGAGCCTTTGTCTATACTCTAACTCGGCGACAGCAATGTTTGGGACTGATGTTTCACTGCGTAAAAGTACAGAATCAGAGAATACAGCCTACATTTAGCAACAGCACTTGTTGCCATTCATGTTGGAGTTCATGAGCTTGGAGATGTGCTTTTGAAAAGGCAATTGAGATGTGCGGCAGCAAAGAAACATATCACAAAATGCAGTGCGACTGAGATGTTCTAAAAAGTCATAACTCAAGATAAAAGCTGGAAGTGAAGGAAGAAAACTGTTTTAAACGAGGGCAATTAGAATTTGGCTGATGGAAAAAAAAAAATCAGCGTATCAAAAGTTGAACTTCTTATCCCCCACTCAATTGGACTTTTAGGAATCTTCCTCCCCTGGTAATTTTCTGCTTCAGTGCAGAAAATATAACTGGTTGGCAATCTATACACTTTTGAATATTTGGAGCTCACAGAAAATAAAGAATACTGCAAACATTTAGAGAAAAGTGCAATTTCAAGACAAGAGAGCTAAAGCTTTTATTTAAAGTGTGGGAATATTCATACATTCTAAGTTTACAACACTTTGCTGCCGCTGGATTATAAGGTCACAATGACGGCACAATCATCACTAGCGCTGTGGTCTCGTGGTTAAGGGCACTGGATTCGTGGTCTTTGGGTAAAGCTGCGGGTTGTGGGTTAGAGTCCAGCCAGGGGTCATGGTGGGTGTGCCCTTGGGCAAGGCACTTTGTCACTCATTGCTTCTCTCCACCTAGGAGTAAATGGGTACCTGTGAGGGCAGAGATGGTTAGTGTGGTTGATGTAGCTGCTTTGCGCCAATATGGCAGCATCGAGCTGTATACTCCCCAGGGAGCTGAGATGGTATTTGGAATGTTTCATGTGCCAAATGAGCAGGGTAATAATGATGTAGCACCTTCAGCACCAGTCCTGGTGGATACCTGCACTTTACAAATACCAACTATTATTATTATTGTTTGTTTAAGTTGGAATCGGCTTGCAAGTTCTGAAGATTTGTTTTCAATTTCTTCATAGTTTTTTAAAGGTTTTTTGGGGGGCGGGGGAGGGGGGTGTTTCAGAAGTTTTGGGCAATCCTAGTTACGATACCTGATTCATATCCAGCCGATGAGGTGATAACTGTGAGAAGTTGAGGGAGAGAGAGAGGTGGAAAGAACAAGAAACCTGTCATTTTGCTCGAACCTTCCAAAACCCCCCACAATAATTCTACCTTTCTCAATCTATGTATGCAGGGCATTGATTCGGGAGAAGACTCACCCAACAGACAAAAGCGGAGGAATTCTCCAGTTACAGAAGTGGGAGGACACAAAGATTCCCCGGGGAGAACGCGAGAGATGAAATATAAGCACTCGGCAAGGTGGGAGTAGACTGTAAAGGTCGCCGTCTTGACCTGTGTGGGTTGGCTCAGGTCGCGGCGTGGGAAGGTAAAGCAAAACAAGGCATCCCTGCGCTGTCTCGCTTTGTAAACTTTTGAAGTGCTTTTCGCTACAAATTTCAGTCCAGATCCCCTCAAATCACAATATGTTGCTTGAGACCTGCCCGTATCATGTTATTTTTTTTTAAAGGGCATTAATGGCACAGGTAACGCAATTTTTGTTTCTGAATGAAGCATTTCGAGCTTTGGACTTTTCTGCTGCTGACTGCTGTATATTAAATTTTTTTTTTTTTTTTGAGAGGCGCTTGCTCCAGGTTGGTGCATGAATTAAATCTGTAATTCATGTTTTTTGGGGGAAGTAAGATAGCAATCGCTTTCCACTGGCTACTAAAGTGTCACTTTAAAAGAGTTACTAAAGTGTCTTTATATTTGGGCTCTTCACAAATAATTTCAGTCATTGGCACAACTTACTTGATTTCCATCCATGTGATGAGGAGGTAACTGCTGAAAAAAGAATACAAACCAAAAAAAAAAGGAACGTTAGAAAGAACATCAAATTATTGCCAGCATGTAACGATCTTCCCCATTCCAAACCAAATGAACCCTAGCAACAACTGAAATAGTGCAATAAATCAACTTTGTTATTTTGTTGGCTTTAATCAACAACATCATCAACTTTTATTGTTCACCATTCCCAGTTTGCCCATTGATGCAGCCATTTTTATGTGCAGCCTGTGAATGAGAATTGCGGCGCGTGTGTCCACAACTCTTAATGTCAAGCTAATATATTGTTGCATGCTGAGCAGTTGAAATTAATCTTTACTATTTGTGGAGTGTTTTGAAGCCTGTATTTCATAACGACTGTTTGTGGCTTTGTGTGTGGTTCAACTAAAGCCAGAAGGTTAAACACAATTGTTACTAACATTGATTAGACTTTTCTCTCATGCAAACAGGTTTTCCCTTATCATGCATATGTAGGAATACTGTTTGCCAGACTACACTACAACAACCATGCAGCTGGAACAAAGTGGTCTTTCGGGAGATGGCAATTTCATTAAGGGAATGAGCATTACCGTTAAAGGTAACATACAACATTTGCTTTTGCTGTAATTTTCAGAAATGAATGGATCTGGGGGTTTGTATTTTGCAGCAAATATTGTTACACTGACCTGTTTCAAGTTTTGTGTTCATAGTTGCTGGAAAAACCAAGAAAAAAACATGCCGGTCTTGTAGTCTGGTTCCCTGACCCTACTTCAGATAAAAAGGAGCTATTTCTAGACGTCAGGAATTGTCAGGTCGGGGAACCAGACTATAGCTGGCTTGCTACCCATTGCAAACAAAATGTGGACTAACTAAATTTGGTAAAATTGGGGGCAGTATTGGTGTCTCATTCTTTTCCAACAATGGTCGGCTGACCATTGTTGGAAATTGATACAAAAATGCAACTTTTCTTGAACATGACAGCACACCAGGTGCCACAATTTCACAGGACGCTTGGGACTATTATTCTCTTATAGTCAAGTAACGTATTTCACAATAACTTTTTGGTAGTTTTGTTTTCTGAAATTTGCGAATGTTGTATATATTACCTTGAACACAAAATACTCTAATAAAAATTTGTAAAAAAAATTCAAACGGAAACATGAATTCCAATTCAAGTTAGGGCTTAAACACTGTTCCCAAATCAGACGTTGCAGAAATGACATGAGAATGCACTCTATTTCACATCCTTCACAGTGAGAATGGTACTGACGCTGTCCCCTTCAGTGAGAATGGTACGACCCACCTGGTTCTGTTGCATCATGGGACTGCCGTGGTGATGATGCTGAGCGTGGGGTGAGGGCTGTGACCCAGGGGGTCCCCCAGGGGGTCCCCCGGGGCCAGGGTTCTGGTGTGAGGGTGAGTGCCGCATGGGATTCTACCCAATGAAGATGTTTTTTGGAGGGGGTGGGATGGGAGGATTTGGTTGGTAACGATGAAGATGATGGAGTATGTTCATGTACGTTGCAGACACATTGGAGGAGCATGCAATGCAGGAAGCCACAAACAACCACACACAAAATGAAAGAAAGAGAAAAACCAAAAACAAACCATGCAAATTCTGAAATCTTCATGCAAACAATTCATGCAAATGGGAGATTGGGTTCTCTGCATTACTGCTTTGTCTTTATTTTTGGAACGATTGACGTTTCTTTAAATTCAATAATTGTCAAATTAATGTCTCATTTTTTTTTTACAAAGAAAAGGATAGCACAGAATCATCAACCGACGAAAAAAAATGTGTTTGTTTGGAAAAAAACACAGCTCAGACTGTCATTATTTTAAATGTAATTCAAAATATTTTCTGGGGCAAACATCTGGCATTTTTGGTTCAAATTAAACAAAAAATTAATCTTAAAAACAATGATTTTTACCAGCCTTCACAGATTTCAACCAAACATTTACAACCGCATATTTTAGACTGTTAATGTAATCCAACAGGCGAACGTACGGACATAATGCATTTTGCAACAGGTATACGTTCAACAATTGTATTATTCCCATAGCATAATAGCATGTCAAGTGTGGTTAGCACGCTCTATTTCAAAGGTTCTGCCAAGAACTCAATAGACCTTTATCAAGCTGCCCCCATTTCAGTCATGTTCCCTGTATCCAATAACAGAACTGAATGATAATTTTTTGTGCAAAAAGGAACCAGACTATTTTTCCTTCCAGCCTTGCTTTGGTTACATTGATTTGAATGGGAAAAAAATCAAGATGGCTGCAACATAATGGTCTATAGGCCTAAGTCTATAGGTTATGCTATGTTGGATGCTTGGATATTTGGCTCCACAACATTGACAGTAATGACCGACTTCAAATGTCATATTTGATTTTAACGAATTCAATCATTTTTTTTTCTCTAAACCCCAGAACCTGAAGTACCCGACAACAGTTTGTTCGACCTGAAGCTTGCAGGTAAGAACAGTGTTGCTTTGATTCTATTTTCAATTATTTGTTTATCACTTGAGAAGTTGTCATTTGTATTTGTTTTTGTTCTTTTAATATCCTTTTCATTACCTTTATTTTGTTCCAATACAATTCACAATTTACAATGAAAAAAATAATAGTACATTTCAGGTATGAAATATTAACATCCTTGAATGTAGATGTTAACAAGTGGCACTAAAAATGGAAGGCTAAACATGCAACAAAACAGACAGCAGTCACGAGCTGCCCATACGTTTCGTACAAGGGTACTTGTGTCCAACTGTTCCTGTGTCTGAGCAATTTCCATTCAAACGAACCCATAAATATATCCAGAAAACTGCCTTGTAAGTTGCGCGAGACAACACAAGGCACAGCAACGCCGATAGAGGTTCAAACCATCATTGCCAGAATCCTGTTTATGTTCACAATTACGTTCAGAACCACTGCACCTGCATTGCCGGATCCCACCCTGTCCTAGATTTGTAAACCAATATAGGTCATGCCTGAGCTGACCTGGGTGCAAAACCCTCGGAACTTCCTCACACACAAAATAGATTGTCCAACCTGATACAACCATGCTCCGAGTAAGGCTTTCTACAACTGCCTCTCCCAAGAAACATTATCAACTAACCCCCATAAAAAAAAAAAAATCATTATAAAAAAAAAAAAAATCCAGTATGCAGGATATTTACTCCCAGCGGACTCCCGCGCAGCGCAGGCGACAAGGAAGTTGGGCTGACAACCATGTCTGAGTCTTTGGGGAGGAAACGCACAGGTATGATATTCTGTAAACATGTTTTTCAAACATGGACGCCATTCTAAGTTGAAGGAGGGGCACGGTTGTCCTTATTTGGTTATGGTGCCCTGAACTGGTTTCACCCGGTCACGAGGAACTGTGTTTAAGTTTTACATCCCTACATGTTGACATACATGTAGGTTTTGAAGCGAACTTCAAAGTTTCGGTTAAGAGTAAAAAAAAAAAAAAAAAAAAGTTGGGAAATAAGTACTGTAAGTTCCTTTCCCACTAGAGAGCATACGTATAAAACTAACTTTGGGACTTGCGCTGAAATTTCTCAGGTCCAGGCACAAAAAAAACAGGTCCAGATGCAAGACAGGGCTTTATTTTTACAAAAATTCGACCAGAGTTGCAATTTGCGTCGAAAGTTTAGTAAGTGCTGTTATGTGGGACAGGTTGCACAGCACACAATCCCAGTTTGTAACTTGAACTGTGCCAGGATATAGCATGCGTTCGTTACATAAACTGTCACAGGATGCTATATAGCATACATGTACACCTTCGCTGCGCTCTTCCGATCTGTCTGTAAAAAAAGCCAATGCACCTAACACACCTTGAATCCACATGTTCACTCAAGCAGGTCAGCCAATCGTCCAATAGATTCATCAGCTTTAATATTATTTTTACAACACCCTTCACAGTATCAGCCAACTCTTGTTCAAGGTATTGTGTGCATAATATGCTGGTTGTGCAGACATTAAAGAGGTTGTGGAATGCTCGAAGACATTTCCGTCATTTTTTGGGTATATGTAGCCTAAGGTGGGATGAAATAAAAACGACTATTGTTTCTGTCATAAAATGAGTACAAAAGGTACTTTTGAGAGCTATTTTTCAGGTCCTGTTTCGACCCGAACGTGCAATTTGTGTAAAAGTTGTCGTTGCGGGCAGCAAACAAAACACAGTAAATCGTGACGTAATAAACAGGACTCGTTTATGCTACTCTGCATCGGGAGTCCTGTTTATTACGTCACGTTTTACTGTGTTTTGTTTGCTGCAAAGACAACTTTTACACAAATTGCACGTTCGGGTCGAAACAGGCATGACAGGACTTGAAAATCAGCTCTCAAAAGTACCTTTTGTACTCATTTTATGACAGAAACAATAGTCGTTTTTATTTCATCACACCTTAGGCTACATATACCCAAAAAATGACGGAAATGTCTTCGAGCATTTCACAACCTCTTTAATTAACCCTAACTCCTACTGTCTTCTACTAAGGACTGGACCAAGTCCACCGAAATCCATCACTGACCCTGCTTCACATATTATTGCTTCAGGACCAAATCCGCTGAAATCCACCACAAGACCACCACTACTATAGGTGGATTTTGATGGACTTGGTACAGATGGCTTGTCTGCCAAAATCCCCCAAAGGGGGAATGGATTTTGATGGAGTTGGGAAGGTTAGGGTTAGGCATGTGATCACCCATGATTTTTGTAAGAATTAAAGTAGGCAAAGTTTTGCGACCATGTCGTTGTGGATATATAAATGCTGCCGCTTTGTACACAAACAATCCAGGCACATGATCTCCATGTGCACTCATAGCACACCTCAGTTTTGCCACAACACAACATTGTGGCAGATATTATTCAAGTTATCTACTTCATTTTGCAGGAATAAGCGAGCTGCTAAATGAAGAAAATGAGAGAGCTGAAGCCTGTTCTCAAATTGAAGTATAAACATGTACATGTAGGTTTACATCTGTGGTGCTGTTTTCAAAACAGCCCCCTCTGTTGTCCACCAACCCCAACTTCCAAAACTGAAACTTTCACGGTATCCTCACAGCCTACCTCATGAACATGCATACAGAAATTGGAAATTCCACATTTCCTCCCCAAGGACTATTTTGTTGGGGCCATGGGGGCAACGAACTGACAGAGATCACGGGGAGAAACAAATGATCGGGTTACCTCGGCACACTTCTTGATGCAGGAGGTACTGGTACAAGTACAACTCTCACAGTGTCGGTGGGCTAAGGAACTATGGGGGCCAAGGCAGGGATCAAATCCTAGACTGGCTTCCCAGACCACCACCTGGTGGATTTTTGTCAATAACTGAGGGCTTTTCCTTCCCTGCTGAAAAGCTTAAGTCTTATTCACATTTTCAGCTGTTTAACATGTTTTGGCTCGTATTTCTCTAAAACCTTGTACCATTTTTGTACCAGAGGCTTGTAATTAGAAAACTCATTTGAAATATCTTGTATTTCCTCGCTTAAAAAAAAATTGGTGCCAAAGTCTGATTCCCCAGAAATCATCCACAACTCATAAGAAGTGAATGTGATGTGATCACGAGCACTTTGGAAAGAATGGTGCAACCTGACGCTACATCAGCGGTTGTGTACAAAGTCTATGGAGAGTCAAGACGTTTTTAAAAGTATTTCCTACCAAAAACTGGAAATGTTTCTCAGTCCCAGATTCATGTCTTTTCATCATTTTTGCAATGACTGACCTTCATTGGGATGATATATGAAGAAAAAAAGCAGCGTCAGGTTGCAACGTTCTTTCCAACTCTTTACTTTAACTGTAATCCCCACAATAACCATCCTTTAACATGAAAAGCAAAAACTAATTTTAAACAATCACATTTGCAAAAGCAATGTGATAGTAGATTCTAGTAGACTTGGTACATACCACGCTAATAGAAAATTGCAACATCTATCTTTTAGGTTTAAAAGTTCTACACCCTCCCACCCCCCCCCAAAAAAAAAATATGAAAAGTTTCGCAAGGCCAGTCCAAGGTTTAACACCTACACTAGTGAAGGGCAGAATCTAATATTAAAATTAACACGTCCCTGACGCAAAAAAAAATTCCATCGTTCCTTGTGATCCTATCGAGCTCAGAGACCCAGAAGTAAAACTTTTTCATGGCATGAATCTTTCGGAAGAGGAGTAAACACAATTAGGAAAAGGGGTTCAAGGAAGGGGGGAATTTGACTTCGCGGGTGAGCGAAATCCTTGGAGAAATGTGTCCCGGCCTACAATGTACATGGGGCACAAACCTCCTGGGTTGTCTTGACTGTCTGGTGATTATCGGATAAGCTCGCACAGGAACCTTGGACTCAACTTTTGATGTCAACTGGAAAAATTCTAGCACCAAATTTTATTACAAAAACGACAAAAACTGAGTTAGTGTGCTTAACAGGGCAGCGTTCTTTTCTTTCTTTTTCTAAAAAACTGATAATGTTTTGAAGAATTCATCTTCCCTTTGTCACATCTACCGTAGATTTCCATGTTCAAACAAAAATCATCCAATAATTGTGAGATGTAAGAAAGTACACAGAGCAATTGTTCCAAAAGTCCTGATATCAAATACTGCAACATTAAACCCAAGTTACTTGTCAATTTGAATTCTTTTCGACAATTCAGTGCAAGTCTTTCTGGTACTACTGAAATGCTTGTAGATGTATCAAGCAAAATAAGCGTGAAGGGAGTCATCACACTTTTGCAAATAAAACTCCCCCAACTTGCGAGTTCACTCAAGCACGAGATCCCCACTTAATTTTTCTAGCACCTCTCTCAAGGTCAAGAGGCGATAAGATAGACGAGGGGGGGGGGGGAGAGGTAGGTAGGCTTGTGCCATGTCCATCCCACTCCGTGTCCATTGTCCGAGGTACTGGCCGATGATTAGAATGCGTCAAGACTCAAGAGGGGGAATCTTTACTTGCACGCTCGTGTGCAGGGAGGCAGGCTGCGATTAACCCTGCATTGTGGTTGGTTCACAGAATGTGACGTTACGCTTGTTAGGTCTTGGTCTTGGGAAAGGTGTCAGGGAGGTGTTGATGGGGAATTTAGCATTTGTTTTTTTAGTAGTCACTACAAATCCATGAAATTTTGATAACCTGTACCTTTTGTTTTTTAAATATTACACTTTTAATTTTCTCCATTGGATACTGTCTACGCAAGTAGATACTCCCAACGTGGCAATCTTCTTCAACAAATCCAAAATACCATTTCTTATAAATCTATACACAACTACTGGTACAAGTATGTAAAACAGTGGTTGAGAATCCTCCTCATACAAAAATATACAGGTCTTCTACAACCATGACAAACTGAAAAGATGTTGTTCTGAAGAACACTGGCTTAATATAAATCTGTGACTTACGATATTTGCAATGCTGAATGCATTTCAGACAATGTGAAGTCATAGATTGTGAAAATCACAAAAGCTCATTTGTGTGAAGCTCGATGAATCGAAAAATGAGTACAACTGGTGTGCACCTTTAATTCAATCTATAAAAAAAAAGAAATTATGCAGATCAGTCTAGCATTTTAGGTGTAATAAGGATATCCCCGTCTATTCCCCCAAAATGCTTTCACTTTCGACCACATAACTTTCTATTCATAGACTGCCTTTAATTGAGGTGTTTACAGGTGTGCGCACAATGCCTGGGTGGAGTCCCATAAATAATATGACTGTGACGTGGCTAAAACTCTATCAAATATTTACAGATTAGGCAGCAAAGAATCACAAGTTTCTGCAGATACAAATATTTTATGAATACATCATTTTGCCAGAGATTACTTTTTGTTAACTATTGAAGGAAACTCATCTTTCAGAATAAAATGAGTATTTTTTTTTATCTTATTTTTATTTCTACTACATGTTTTCACACCCTACAAGTAACTACATGTACATTGTACATGCCCATCATGTTTTTTTCTACAATGTACCGCACACAATTTCTACAAAATGTTGTTGGTTTCTGCCCATTATATTCATTTATTTATACAATACACAAGCGGCTTTGAGATTGGAGAGATGTTTAGCCATTTGAAACAGAACCATTCAAGTGCAAATTGATATTCATGTACATGGGTCATTATATAAATTTAGGGCTCAAAGTGTGATGTTTTTCCTGTCCCTGTTACCTGTGAACTTTGTAATTTGCCATTCAAGTATCATTAAGAATGACTTCAAACGATGTTTTATTTGTTGGGTAGCACTCGACTACATGTAGTAGGTAGTTTGCTATTCATAATCACTCTTGGAGGATGACTGCATTAAAGAGTGCATCAAAAATTATGAAATCATACGTTTACTATGTAGATGTCATATATGGATGTAACAGGGAAAAGGGAAAAGTGGACCCCAAATTTATAGAATGACCCAAATTCATATGAGCATGGTTTGAGTGACAGAAACCATCTTGGTTAAGATCGCACACAAAAATGAAAAATACATTTTTCATAATTAGGTTGATCTCCATACACATGCATGTATTTGCGCGTACATGTCTCTTTAAAAAAAAAAGTACAATGAAGGGTTGTTGCTGGTGGACAGAAATGCCACGCAATGTGTGTGTGAACAGCCAGACAAGTAGACGACTTGAACTTTATTCCCCATCGCAGGGAAATGCATGATATACACAGCCTGTAGAGCCTACGTTTGACTGAATTGTTGGAAACTTGCCAATATCATTGGTGCATGCAATTACTGTCATCTCTCTTTTTTTTCCCTTCCAGTTTATTTACAGTTGTTTGGTTAATACGAATCACACAGAACAATTGTATGCATGTAGGTTATGTATCGGACAGGTATACGTATGCATGTGCAGGTATGCGTGAATCCTGAACTGACAGACCTTTTCTAGTGAATGCGAGATTGAAACACGACGCTTTAGGTTTTTACCACAACAAATGTACCCAACGTTCAGGTACATTTAACAAAACTGAACATTAATCGCAGCAGGTTAAAGTGACAACATTTGCCTGTGCCATGTGTCCCTCACTTAACACTCCCCCATATTTTCAAATGGAATATCCTATTCTTGTCTGTCATTTTCAAACTGTACTTCATTTTTTCTCTTTCAAATTTAAAATTTCTGTCAAATTTAAAATATTTAATTTGCATTGCATTTTCCTTCAAAAATGACAGGGAAAAATATGTAAGCTGGAGCTTATGCAAATTTTTGTTGCTATTTGTTTGTCAAATTTAGAAGATTCCTAACACAGGATGACAATTAGCCAGCTCATTATTTCTGAAAGAATGTTAAAAATATCAAAACAAGGCAAATTTGTTTTCAAATTTCAAATGACTGAGCACAAGGTATACCAAAGTTTTTGCTATTATTTTTGTTTCGTTTCTCATTTGGTCATGCTTACTTATGCACCTAAGGAATACGCGGCCAAATGGTTCACAGCAAACCAACTCAGGCATAATGCTACATCATACTGAATGATAAGGCACCGAGGATGGTCACCAGCCAAAAAAAAAAAAAAAAAAAAAAAATGTATTTTGAGAAAGCATGGTTACGTCAGATGAACTGCTGCCGTTGGGGCCGGGAGGCTGAGTCACGGTTGCCATGGATACCCCTGGTCAGGGATGGCAGTGCGCGGCCAGGAGATGCGCTGGGGTAGTTTCGCGGGCATTGATTAGTTGGCATGGGGCAGTGTGGTTTGGTTAGGTTGGGTTTGGTCAGTGGTTTTCTTTTTGTGTGTGTGAACATGTTGCGAGTAATGCCATCCATTGTAATGGATTACGTGGATCATAAATACCGAGGGTTTACATTTAAACAGCGTGGGTAATTTCACTCGGCGAGGCTTTGTTCATTAACTGTTAATGCACTACATTTGCGCAATGCTGTTTCAACCGCGCTACAGCTCGTGTCTCAAAACAAAAACCCGGGATGGTCGAATTTTAACTGGCTACCTCACTTAGTAGGACAAGATCAGGATTTCATTACACTGATAAATTGCTTTAGAAATTTTCTCAGAGACCTTGTCAAATTTTGTTCACTTGTGTGTTGAAATTTGATGTTGTATTGATTATGCTACAACAAACAAGAACTGATCTAGTTTAAAGGCTGCGTTACATCTAGGTTCCTTTCAATATAATTTTACCAGCTAAACATGTATTTCTGCATGCTAGGGTACTTAAAGTGCAGTGGAGACCCAACGATATATGCATACTGATGTGTTTTAATATTTCATACATTTTGCAAACCTGTGAGGTGCACACGTGATACACTTTGTACACATCACATGAGATGATGTTAGAAAACACTGTTTTGACTTCTTTTAATGCAAACATCAGAAATTCACTAGTCCGAGTTTTGAAATGTCTTGAAGATGCGAAAGTGGTCACCCACTTTCACAGACTTTGTCAAATTTGGTGTCTTCCGTGTGTGCCTTCCGCATTCATGATTCACACATTTTTCTCAAGGACGCTCTTGAGTGTCACTGAAAGTGCTGCTGGATCTAGTGTATTCCTTCCGTTTGTGGCAAAATAATGGATTGATGCCAAAAATCGCTCGGCAAAATGCGCTGCATATATAGCAATGCCAATATTTCCCAGAAATGAGGTAGTTCAAACTATTTTCATACTAATGTGAAGCCAAGTTGACGAAATTTACGAAGAAACAGGGTTGTAAACAGTCCAATGATTTTGGTTTGTGGTTGGCTATTCCCATTAAAAAAAAGGCAAGGAAATCTGTGAAAACTGGAAAAACTGGGCACAAAATGAAAAAGCTGTGATTTGATTCTCCTTAATAAACAAGCATTCACTGTATCTGCTTAGAATTGGACTGATAGTGACTTTCTGATGTCTTATTTTTTGGGGGGTGACGAGCGACACATTTATGAGGAAATGTGGCGGTAATATTCTGGCTATCCTCTCTTTTTTCTGCCCTTTGTGATCAATTTTTCTTTTTCATATTTCAGGGAAAAACAATTAGCATAATTCCTTTTTTAAAAATCCAACTGTAGGATTTCAAAAGGCTTCGCAGTATTACATGCACAAAACCCACAATCACCCACACAAACTAAAATTCATGCAAAACACAATCATCAAATTGTAGAACCAGTAGTGTAGAGTTGATACAAAGCTTTTTTTGTTTTCTTGAACTTTCGTTTTTATGTTTACTTTGAAAATTGGAATATATGGACATTTAGAATGAAAGCATTCTTAAATTTGTGGTGCATGCATGTGAGCTGCCGACTCTAAAAATTACTACAAAAAGCATACGGGAATGGAATTAAGTGATTTCAAAGAACTAAATCCAAGAGCAAGTTCGGGCAAGGACCATTAGTCGACTAGTGGTTGATTTGTGACGTACCTTACGCCTGCGCACTAATAGCAACGTGCGAACGTCTCTAGTCAAACACTGGTCAAAATGTAATCGCAAAACTTTTGGGTCCTGGCTCCATGCTATACGTTATGAATGCGGCTGTTGGTTACTAGCGATGCAACCAGGCCCAGTAGGCTGGTTCCAAATAGTCAACTAGTGTAGTTAACTAGTGTAGTTAACCATCGTTGACTAGACAGAGTTCGGACTAACTTAAGTCAAACTATGGCTAACCATTGGTCAACAATAGTTCTTGCGCGAACTTGCCCCTTGACGAGCAATCATACACCACTGGTAAAAACTAGCGTTGTATTTGAGTCACAAGTTAATCAACAGTCCATCACGTGTCATCCCGTCCACAGTCAAGTCACTAGCTATTCAAATGAACTGTGATTAAAGCATTCCTTTGTCATTGTTCACCGCAGTTACTTGTGACTGGAAAGGAGACTAGACTCGTGACTTGAGTGTCATTGAACTTGTGATGAACTTGCGATGGACTCAACTACAACAAAACTGGGGTTTTTTTTAGAAATAACAAAACTGTCTCTCTTTTTTTGCAATGAAGGAAATGAACACAAACAGTGAGAAAAAAAATTGGAAAAAAAAAAAAACTAACGGGATTTTTTTGTCTCCAAATCAAAAGGCAATTCCATGCAAGACATGAGGAGGGAGATGAGACAATGAGGATGAGGCCAGCTTACCTGAAAGAAGCCTGGAGGCATTGGACCACTGGGAGGCATCCCATCGTTAGGGGGCATCTGACCTAATACTGGACTGGGAGCTGCACCGCTCTGGAAAGGGAACGGCAAGAAAGAGGATTGTATGTTAAATCATTGAAAAAAATCAAGGGTACTGCATTGGACTGGGACCTGCACCGCTCTGGAATGAGAACGGCAGAAAATACGTATTGGACTGGGATCTGCACCGCTCTGGAAAGGGAATGGCAAGAAAGAGGATTGTATGTTAAATCACTGAGAAATCCACAGTACTGCATTGGACTGAGACCTGCATTGGACTGAGACCTGCATTGGACTGAGACCTGCATTGCCCTGGAATGAGAACGGCAGAAAGATCATAATACTCATTCATTGAGAGATTTAAGGTATTGGACTCGGAGCTGCGCCGCTAGCGCTCTGGAAAGGGAATAGCAGAAAAACGAACATAATTATAGGCCTATTACATCATTGGGAAATGTAAGGCAGGTTTAACTAGAATGGTACAAGTGGAAGATAATTTCTACGTATCAAGGCAATAAAATATCTCATACAGAGAAGGTAAAACCAAGTCTTTTGAGAAATTGTGGGATAACTTTCTTATAGTTGCTTGATATACACAGTCACTACTTGACCTAAAACGTGGCTAATCTTTATTTAGCAGTTCGGGGAAAACCTCTAGGTGAGCATTTTTTTTTCAGCGTTGGTCATTTCTGGTGTATATATGTACGATACGAATCAGCGAGGCAAGCTGTGAGTCATACAAATACAAATGCAGGTCAGCACCGCCGATACACTGACCGACTTCAGGATCTCTCCTACAGCCTGTGGCGGATTTGCAACCATGGAGTTTAGATGTAAGGGGGGAAAAAAGGAGCGAAACAAATAACGAAGAGGAAAAAGCTAGGCAGGATAAGACTTTCTTGGGGGGAGGGGGGGGCTGTGAGAAATTTGTATTATCAAGGGAAGTCATTGCAGGAAATGCTGTATGATGCATGCTCTAGGTGATGCGATGAAACTGACTGAGCTACGGATGGTAACAGGGCTTACACTTGACGTGACATTCACTTGGTTGAGCTGGGATCTGCTCAATGGGCTACTCATATTCAAACTGCAAATATCGAAGGAGGGAGGGCATTTCCATAACTTGTAAAAGATCTATAAGTTGAAAGGAAAAATTGGAAATTGGCTGCTGCACCTGAATTATTTTAACCATTGTATAACACAGGCATGCAACTGGAAAGTCACAAAAAAGAGGAAATTCACATCTTTCCAAGACTTTGTACAGTGTTTTTCAATCTTAATGGCACACATGGGAAGTAAAAAAAAGAAAAAATCAGCTGATCTGAGGAAAAGTTGCATGCCTGAAAACACTGGGGACCTATCCATTAATTCAGTCTACAACAAACGAGCGCATTGAGGCCCTTAGTCCAAATGATACATTTGAAAATTGCTTATGGGTCACTATGGGATCCGTGCACCAACAAAGAGGGGGCCCTTTTACCTAGCAACGACGTCCCATGGGCGGGACACATACATTTCACTAATTGACGCTGTACCGGTATCGACAAGATGGCTACTATGCAAAGGGTCTGGTATTAAAAGACAAAACGCTTTTAAACTGAATCTAAAAACTAATTAGAAAAATCCACGTGTAAAATAAAAGAGAAAATATACAGACACTGACTAGGTCTTTATAAACATCTGGAAATAAAGGAGCTAGACCAGGAAATGTGGTTGTCCCATCAACCCATAAATATATATACTTTAGCTGCCCCAAATTGCACTTTTGTACCACAACACGCGGGTTGATGTATCTGTTCCCTTACGAGAATTAACATTACAGACATAAAGTGCTCTGAACCCAAGGGCGGCACTGTTTAATGAGGACAGATGATGTGGGTGTGTGTACAGTATTTGGGGTCCCCCCCCCCCCCCACAATATTGAATCTAGTGCTAATTTTCTATGCAAGAATGTTTGACTTGTACACCTCTTGTCAAAATTCCTATCAAATGCCGGGGGGGGGGGGGGGGGGGGGGGGAACGGGGGATTTACAAATACCCATATGTACCGGATCAATTTAATTAACTGTTTTGGTCTGTTTGCAATAGAAATATACATTGTAGGTTATCTAACAGTGTAAAAAATCCCCCCCCCCCCAAAAAAAAAGAAGTGGGTCTCTGAATGGTCTTGGAAGGTCAGGCTTTGCGTTAGATACTTGCATTTTCTTTACACACATGTACCTTAAAATTAAGCCCCAACATTCAGGATGTCAAGGGAGAACTCGGATTTTGAACTGAGGGTTTGATTGCCCTACTGCACAATGAGAAAACCTGAGCAACAGCAGTTCTGTTGGTGTGCCAATGTCATTTTTGTATTTCAAAAACAAAAATTAAGGAAACTTTTAACAAATTCTTTTGCACAAAAAGCACATCGGATTCTAGTCTGTTAACTAGACAGTGCTGTAAAAATGCATGGATACCACAATCGGAGATTAAACGCTCAACGCACAGAAGTTAGCAAGATTTCACCAGAACTTGGCCTTAATCGGGCCAATCCCCTGGTCTACTGGACACACAAACCCTAGATTTTACGGGAAGACTATTTTCTGTACCTTGTGTAGAAATGGTGCTACAGGTTGTTCTCCATTGACATCCAAATGTGGGTTCGGCCTCCCTCTCTACAGGTGGACAATGGGAAAAAAATAATGGTTAAATTCACTGATTTTTAAAACAATTTCAAGGAGGCCTGTATGTAAAATAGACAAGATACTTTTTGGTTAGATGTACCACCTCAGAGTTAACTCATCAGTCACTGTACCGCCCCAAACCGCCCTGCCTTTTACTCCCTGTAGCGCCTCAAAGTGCCCAAGCACTGGACATTTTGTTTTGGATTCACCAGTGAATTAACACAATGTAACACAATGTAGTACAGAGTTTTAACATCCCTTTCCAAGGTTTGTGAGTGCAAATGCTTTGTGTTTGTTTTGCTGTTAAAATATTGGTTTATTCACTTTCCTGTTTATGAATAAAATTTCTCTGTAAAGTTCTAACATAAAGAAGTACAATCTCCACAATTCTCTGGTATTGTTTTTAGTACTGTAAGTATCAGTAATGTCCTATCTAGTGGCAGGATACAATGACCCGATCATTTCCTCCAAAACGTTCTCAACAAGGAAACGTTCAGGTTCATTTCCCCTTCCTGAAATGTTTCTGGGAAGATTTCAGGGCACGTACGGTAACACATACATCGTGTATACAGTATGTGCTTACAACATGTAACCCTCTTCCTATTGTGGTATGGTAATCAATAAGCCACTGTTTCCGACAACTTCTGCAAATGCTTCAGGCTAGCACTGAAGTTTGCATAGAATATTTTGATAAGAAAGTACTCAAAGTGAAATGAATATCACAAATATATAAATGTTTGAGAGGGTCAATTAAAGAAAAAATGTTGTGAACTACACTTTGCTTTGATGTCTTTTCTTTTGGACTAAAAGGGTGTCTTTGTTTTTCCAAGTTATTAGTTTGTAAACATATCTCTGGTTGCCTCTTGTTTTTTAGTACATGTCTCTTTTTTTCTTAGTACATAAATTTCTGCAAATGTTGATCAGTCAACTCTCGTTATATACAAACACTGTTAATACAAATTCTGGTTATAGCAAACATAAAGCCTTGGTCCAGACTACGCGTTATGTGCACAATGAATAGGATTGGCCCTCCACTTAATACAAAATTCTGATATAACAAACCTTGTGGCTAGGTCTGCCTGAGTTTGTATAATTAACAACAGTCGACTGAACTACAAGCTCTGAACAATATTGGCCTCGACAGTGGAACTTGTAGATGGTGTTCTGTTGATACTCGCAATCTTAAATTATTGGACACATTGCATTCACGAATAAGGGGCTGTGCAACTTTTATGAACGTCTCAGGGAAATGATGGGTGATCCTTCATAAAAAGTCTTAATTTTTCAATAAGCAATAATAGGAAACGACGATAGAATGCGTGTACTGTGGAACACCGCTATAACGAACTTCGCGGGATCCACAGAAATTGTTCGATTGTTTGGTATAGCGATTTTAAGGTGTCAGTGCTCCGGTACTCACTTCAATAAATAGTGCCCAGAACTTTACCATGCATGCCGGCCCTTGTAGTTACAGAAAGACAACCTTGAACACAAGCCGACTATCGAATTATGTAATTACACAGTTTTTAATTGAGCTTACTACCTACATGTACATCAATGGGGGGGGGGGCTTTCCCCTTCTATTCCTCAGGGAAATAATAGCAACTTGCCACTCTTCTGTTGCCATTTTTAACAACAATGTTTGTTAAGTTTTGTACACAAAAATCAGGAGCCAAGGACAATGTTCGGTATAGCCGAATGTTCGGTATAGCGGTGTTCGGTATAGCGACATTCCACCGTATACTGTATCAAAAATATTATTTATTTTTTTTATGACAAACCTTTCGGAGGTTTTGTTTGGATTTGACTGACGGATGGGACAAGCATTATTTAAGAAGACAGACTCATCTATTTACATACCGGTACATTTACACAATTCTCATACAACTATATGTTTGTTGCATACATAAATTTATACATGAAACAAAAATTTACCAACTTATTTCAAAACGTTATCTCGATCTCCTGAATTAAAAGATGCATACATGTGTGCATAATATCTGACAGGTTAAACTAGCTATGCCCAGCTGTGTAATAACAGTCTCACTTCTGGCCACTTGAAAAATCCAGGACAGGAGAAGAAAAGGAAAAAAAATTGAAGAGAATGATTTAAATTCAACGAAATAACGTCAGCAAGGGAGAACTTGCTAATAATTCTGCACAAGCTGGAGTGCCACTTGACGTACAATATTGTCAGTGGGGGGAAAAAAATGCTTCCCTCTGGGCAACGGCACCTCCTTGCCAGACAGGAACTCAAAAAAAAAAATGTATCCCCGACTTTTTTTTTCCTACGACCTCACAAAGAAAAGGCAGCCACGGCATCTACTGTTGTGTAAATGCAACAAGTCAAGATATCCCATGTCGGTTCTGTGGTATGTGTGGCGGGCCCTGTATTGTACGTTCGTTACGACTACTACAGGTAAATGTATTATACAAGCCTGGCCCTTTGAGATTAAACTGGAAAAAAGGGAAAAAATGTTTTATGGTTCAAGTGGTCATGGGTGATTTTGTCTTGAATAAAAAAAAATGTTACAAGCAAACACCAAAGTATGTTTTTTTTTAAATAATTACACTCATAAGAATGTTATCAACCATGAAATTATAGGCACTAAAATGCAAAAAAAATTTTTTTTTACAAAGTTATTAATTATTATGTGGTCCAAACCCTGTTATCAAATTTGAAAACAGGAATATTACTCCTAACTCCCTAGGGGGTGTGCAAAATCGTATTCTTCTTCTTCATTCATTCATTTTCATGATGACTTGATGAGTTGGGCCCAACTGTCCCTGTCGAGCATAGTGTTGGAAAGAGATGGACCACTCAGTATTGAATTTGGAAGATTCAGGACTGTTAGGGTTACAGAAAAAACCCTCAAGAACTATACAAGTTATTTGTGTCCAAATTCATGTATCGTGTCCAAACTCATGTATGTACACCACTTTGTATCAATTACGGCCATGTAAATGATCCCAATCACTTCCGGACAATCAAGCAGCAATTTATGCTACAAAAGAAGACCCATCAAACACTTGTTAACCAACACCTGCCCAATAAGCTTAACGACACTCTGAAAGTTTGCCTACATCAGCACCAAGTCACATCAAATCAATAATAAAGGGCCATGGCTAATCACACACTAACAGCCCACTGAATAAATAGCAAAGTTCTCTCTCTCTTTTTTTTTTCAATCCCTGAAACTGGCTGGGAGAAAAGGCTGCTCATCAGACCTTGAGACACACTCCAGCATGCACCAGTTCCCCATAACCATTGTATCCACCCACTTAAACCTTCGCAAAACTGGCTGAGGGCAAAACCCGCCTACACACGCTAAACTACACAGCGCACGTACGTACATTGTGTCGCAAGATAACCCCGAGATCAGCTCTCCTGAACAAGCTCTTTTTTTTCCAGAAAATCTGTTCAATCCACACAAAAGAGATTACAACACCCAGAGCCCCATTCAGGGTCACTAAATAAACAACGATGACTTCCATAGCTCATGCTTCGCCCCTCTCTTTTCATTATGAAAAAAGAAAAAAAGAAAAAAAAGAATCCAGGGGCTTGGGAGATTTCGGGGTACTTCTGATCAATAAACTGTAACAATGGGCCACCCCATGTAGCTGGCAATGTAGCGTGCGGCAAAGCTCTAGTTTACTCAACTTCCACTACATTTACACCCAACAATAAACCCCCAAATCCTTCACCGTTGGACGCAGGGCACAATATTTAACTTCATGTTACTTTATGCAATAACAAGTCCCAGTGACAACATGTAGCGGTACAACCAGTGACCGCGTGACCTCTCTCTCTCCCCTGATCTGTAAGCAAAAACACGGCTTTGGTGGTATCAAAAGCACTGTGACAGCAGGGAGTGAGAGCGGTTCCTGTAACAGCCACTGGTTTGCCCTTGGTGGCTGAGGCTCATTATATATGCGCAAGCTTTTTGATGTGACCCTATGGCTTGCCAGAGTCTGTATGCATAGGGATTCACAGTGTATAACGTGTCAGCAAACACAAATACAAACAAAATCAACAGCAAGTAAGGATTTTTTTTTTTTGTAATCCGAGTCTCAAATGAATTTAGACTTTCTTTCAAATTACGCGAGACGTTACAAACATCAGGGGATTAAAAAAAAAATGGTAAATTTATTAGACTTTGAAAATGCCAGTATGGATAATTCATATGAAAACGGAAGCGGCATTACATAATCAGAACTGTGGAAAGTATTGACTTCAAATTATCTTGGGCACAACAATTTATCAACGTTCAATCCATGTTTATATACATGGGCATGAATATCAGTGATCCTACAAAAGTGGTTCACTGAATAAAATCAATCAAAAAATAAAATCACCATTCCTAGAAGCGAGTCAGCGGATTACAAGTGTCAAATCAATTTTAATGGAGAATAATTCATAAGCCAACTAAGCAAGGTCACACCATTTTCTTTCTTTCTTCATTTTTTTTTTCATGTACGGGTACGGAAAACAATTTGCTTTAATTTAATACATGAATTTCTTCCATGATCAAACAAATGTAAGGCAGGCATCCAAATGTCTTTCCATTGCAAAATAAATATATTTAAAAAGTGATTATTACAAAAAACTGCTGAACATATCAGAACACCCATTTTTTCCCCTGTAGCCTTTTACAAATGAATTTCTTGTACGTTACTTTAACGTGAACAACAATGATTTTAAGAATATTGTACACAGAATAGAATTGGTGTGAAGAATTTTGTACATGGGACATGAAATATAAAGAGCGCCCTCTATCTCTAAGAACTTCATCTCTACAGGTCCAGTCACTGATCTCCACGTAAAAAAAATCTGGATAGCTCTTGGCCATTCTTAGCTGTACCAAAAAATATGAAGCTACAATGTATGCAGTGGTTCCCGATCTCTCCATTCGAATGTGTGGAGGGAACCAGCCTCAACAACTCCCATTGTTCACAATAACTAAAATATAGTCGTCTAAAAGTAAATAATT